AGTCGCGAAATACTCTGTAGAGCCACTATATTCGCGGACCTTTCAAATCCCTGTGTTCGCACGCAGAACCATATCGGAATAGCGAGTATTCGCGATGTGGTCTAAGTTGCGACCAGTCAAGAGTTGGTCTTGGTTCTGAAGTCTCAAAAGTTTCTCAGGCCTTCGAAAACGACGAAGTTGTTAAAACGTCAAACGCAATACTAGACGTTCCACCATTGAAAATCTGCTCGGCACAGAAGCATTGTATGTAAAACAACTGCCCAGGTTTCGAGAAAAGCGAACATGCTTTTTAGTCCGCATGCATATTGCATATATTATCTCTTTTAAGGCACATTATTGTTCAACCTCGTCGAGAACTTGCGAAACACATGCTGACAGTATTAATGCTTTTTCTGACTGGTCTTCTTCCATGGGTTGACAATTGGGCGCATTTGTTTGGCTTCATCTTTGGATTGCTAATCACCATCGGTAGGTAACTCTTCTTAGATCGTTTTCGCGGTTAAGTGTAATACGAATGGTTTTTTCTCTAAAATATGGATGATTCAGTAACATTTCCATATCTGGATTTCGAATCACAGGAGAAGCCAAAGCGAGGATGTCGATCAACTTCGAATCACAGGAGAAGCCAAAGCGAGGATGTCGATCAACGCTATCTAGGAGACATGTAAGATTTATTAAGTCTGAGTTCGGCTAATCGTGAGTGTCCCAGATTTTCGAAATCCAACGCAGGTGCAGTGATACTTGCTGCCGCCTTTTCCTTTGTGATATAGCCTATAAGATTACCTGCAGTTTTCCTTCTCTGAAGATAAAAATGTTTCTTGTTTTTGCGTCAAAAAACGAGCATGTTTTAGAAACACGAATTGAACCCTTCAAGTTTTGTTTGTCCCCCTGGTGAATTGTACGAAAAGCAGCTCATACGATATATCATAGAGTACTGGAAGGTTGTTGGAGACCAAAAAACTTTAGTCGTTCCCAGTAAAGAAAAACTTCAGTTGTTACCAATTCGTGGCAACATTCCAGCTACTTTCAGATTGCGATTGTGGCAGCATTAATTTCGTGCGTGATCTTATACTTCCTCCTCGGCTACATATATTTCAATCAAATTGAAGTTAACTGTCCGTGGTGTCAGTACTTCAACTGTATTAATATAAAATACTTCACCGGTTCTAATCATTTCTGTGACAACACGGGACAGAAGCTCTCGCAATGGCTTCCGATATAATAGCAAGTAGTTACTTTTTAATTTGTCATTTTGTTATTTTCATGGTTATTGGAGTTATTTTGTCACTCCTACTCTTTTTGTCTTTTTCTTGTTCTAGCATTCAGTCTCCGTTACCTTGTGAATGACTTCGCCAGTAACTTGTGAAGATGAGCGCGAGCTTTTGAGGGGAGCGGGGAGGAGCGAAGGGGGAGGGAGAGGGAGGGGCACGAAGGAGAAGTTGGTTGTCTGGCTGGATTGAATTTTATTAGACTCTTCCTGTCTTTCTGTAAAGACTACCCCTGTAAATGAGAAGATTAAGTCTCTACTTCTGCAGAGTAATAGACCTGTATTGATGTGACCAAAAGGTCCTTTGAGTTGAGGTATCAGGATAGAACAATGCTTCAGTGTACAGATATGTTGTAACGAAACCGCTTTGACTTTTCATCGCTTCGAGCAGATTATTTTCGTCAGGAGCCTGAAATTTATCTGAAGCTCCTTATCTGTAAGTAACGCGCTCAAGCTCCCTTATGCATTGGGCCAGCTAATGTTTCGCAGGAAGGCAAACACAAAATTCACAGTCATTTAATTAGTCCATTGCAATTGAACCAGCATAAGCGCCCCTCTTGAATGATTGACTTCAACAACGAAAGACAAAGGAGGCACCAATGATGGACTGGGACGTAAGATAGATGTGTAACTGGAAGTCTGGTGTTGCTTGGAGACGTTTCTGCTACATGGCAGCTTCCTGGTGTCGCACTCTAGAATTGATGTGGTGGTGTGAATGATAAACCCTGGAAGGAAGACGTTTTTCTTGCACTTGATTACTGTTCTATAGGAGAACATAGGAATTTTTATCCTATAGCATTAGTCGTGACTCTTGCTTATGACAACGGAAGCATCGATCAGACGGTGAAATCGTTTGTTTTCCGCGAAACCGCCCTAAATGTGTGCGGGCTTTCTAGGTTCTTAATTTAAATTCCAAAATCGACACAGACCTAGACTATTGTGTGAGGTTGGATCAGCAGGAGATTCACCCATCAAGCTCATCATGGGAGCGGCCCTTAAGGATGTCAACAAAGGATTTGTGCCTGTTTTCATTAGATAAGTTAGCAATCATGGCGCAATCATATACATTTTTGCTAATATTGTCTCAACTTTGTAACAATTGAACCGGTAGATCTGTTGGTAAATGATATTGAATTTATTGCCTTATTAAGTGATCTGAATTTGTGCCTTTTAACAAATATTTGCCTCAATGAGCTTCCAAACTTTGTCGAACTGCTCATCAAGATCTTACTGTTACTTCGATTCCTATTTTAATAATGATATTTAAAGTAGTCTATTCTTGATAGAATGTGTTACATCGCTTAGGTTCTTACAATTCCACTCTATTGTCGCTTGCGTTGTGAAGCAATTAGATACGTAATAAATGTACAGGAAGTCGACTGTTGAGTACAGTTTGATTTTCCATTATATAGGTGCGCCATAGATATGGTAACAAAATGATTGTGCTGGAGAAACCGCAGTTCATTTTGATACATGAAAGCGGGGTCTCGGTAGTGTAAGGGATAGAGCACGGTGCCTGAATAGCCCAAGCGCGGGTTCGAGTCCCGTTCGAGGCTGAGGTTTTGCGCATAACTCGCCAAGCTCGTGAAAACGAATGTACGTTCATGAGAAATAATTATCTCTTGTACTAATTATAGCTCAAAGACGCTTTGGTGCTCATTCGGAGTGGGGAACATCCGCTTGCAATGGAAATGAACATTTCTACCATGCTAAACACCTTTCCGTCAGCTGAAGGTGTGTCGGAGCTGTTATACATTCGAATGAAACACGACATTAGGTATTCGTCCCAAGCTTTTCGTCAAAGATTTCATGAGGGATTCAAAACTTCTGTGGATATTTACATATGTATTTGCATTCATTACATTCAGTTCGGCAGACATTTTTCTGACGGTTCTGCAGGTTCCGCAACATAACTGTTCTCCAACAATTACTCAATAGACTTTACTGCGACTCAATAGACTCAACAGGCAAGAGATGACGAAACGACGAGCAGTCTCGAAAAGGATCTTCCAGATGGGGCAAAGGCAGGCGGCTGCTGGATAGAAGCTAGGTTTCACTATTTCTTGGAAAGAGACGACTTCAGAGCGTCAGAACAAGTCTCTAGCCAAGTATATATAATATTTTTCTTTCCCTATCGTAATAGAAGGGTGGAGGTGATTATCTCATACGCATGGTCACGGGTTCAAATCCCGGACATCCGTCTAGGCCGAGCGAGCCTCTATGCCTTTGGAGTTGTCTAATTGGTACCAGACTGGTCTGGGAGTATAAAGACTGACTTGTACATCGGCTGGCCACCGAAAGTCACTGTATCGGCCAAATACGTATTCAATATGCCACTACGATTCTGAATGGAAGTCGAATGCATGGGGGCACCCCTCTGACGTGATTGTTTAACTCCTCAAAACTATACTTTATTCATCGCTATAGAAGGAGATTTGAAAAGACCTCCAAACGGAAGAATGCTTCTTTCTGTGAGGTTGTTACCATTTTTGTAGCCTCAACTCTCAAAAGTGAATCTGGAAGTCAACGTACAGGTTGGGTGCTGCCAAGATTCGCCATTTTCATTGCCAAGACGAGACTTTCATGAGTTTTAATCATTCCATGCCAGTTTTGCTCTCCTGTTTGCAAAGGCAAACCCCACTTTCTTAGTTGCTCGCTGCTAAGTCATTGTAAATATATACATGGGCTTATACGCTCTTATGTTTCTTTGCAGAGGTATGAATAGGTGCACCCTGAAATGGAATTGATCAACGGTTAGAGCTTCATTCCACAACCAATTTATTTATTTATTTATTTATATAATGCAAATTTATAGACAGGTAACCATGTTAATGATATGAGAAGTCGATGAATGAGAGTAATAATGTTCTTTCTGTACACCTATCACAATAACAGCCACAAAGACGCACGTAGTAGGGCTGCACGGGTCGCTGTGTGCAGAGAACCACACAACTCGCCAGTTACAATGGATCAAATGAGCGTAGTTAGCCGGCAATACTATCAAGAATAAGAGGAAGTTGTCGGAAGACTGGTTCAGATGAAGTGAAGGTTTGTGCATACTTAATTTAGATAGTTCATTTTAAAAAGACTAGGCTACTTCAGACTTTGGCCACGCCTATATAGCAAGTGTAATTGTGCGAGTACTATGTACTATGGACTGAAGGGACAGCAAGCATAACCTTAGCTCAGTCTCCTTTGAATACACCCTCTCGGTGAGCGGAATACACATTATGGATAGCGGAAATTAAGGGGTAGGTGCTAGCTGGGACTTAATGAATAGGAAATCGGAAAAGGCAGCAGGTCCGTGTGTATTGTTGTTCTCGTTTTCTTTGCTTCTACGTGTATGAGGANCATCAAGATCTTACTGTTACTTCGATTCCTATTTTGATGATGATATTTAAAGTAGTCTATTCTTGATAGAATGTGTTACATTGCTTAGGTTATTATATTACAATTCCACTCTATTGTCGCTCGCGTTGTGAAGCAATTAGATACGTAATAAATGTACAGGAAGTCGAGTGTTGAGTACAATTTGATTTTCCATTATATAGGTGCGCCATAGATATGGTAACAAAATAATTGTGCTGGAGAAACCGCAGTTCATTTTGATACATGANATTCGCCACCCTCTCTTACCGCAGTAGCGCTCGCCATTTATCCTCTAGCTAGCAGAGAACAATTTAGTTGGTTGTTTACAACGCCATAACTCTTCTCGGAGAATGTCCTTCAGTATGGCAGACTTATCATGATTATTCGATGAAAAGTTCTCCCAAAGGGTTCCCCTTCATCAGATTTGTGGGTTGCGCTTTTACAGCACCGCTGCATCAACACTGGTGAGGAGCCTGAAGTCTGCAGTAGTCCCACGTATTCTAATGTCAGTGGTGTATGAATGGCCATAAGATGCCTCGAGTGGGAATAACAATTAAATAATGTAAAGGGTGCATGCCAAAGTGACTATGGAAGTCTGTGTAGGTAGCATTAAAGTAATAAAGTAATGGAGAAATCAAAAAACAGCAACAATCAAACAGAGAAACGATGTGTCATGAGAAATCGATATCTTTAAACTTCTTAAGTAGATCTGTTTTGAACCATGGAAAACTATGGACGTCATCCTGAATTCCATCGTTGTTGCGGTATTTGCTGTTGATATTGAGGGTTAGGTAATATATCTGGCCGATAACCACTGCTCGGCACATTAGCGTTCACTGGCATCGGCATCCCAGCAACACCCTAAAAAGGCAGTTTCCTAAACTTCCTTGACCGTGCAATGCGTCTGAATTTTTCTGTATGAAAAACCGAAAATTTTGGCAGTATTGACATTTGGTGGGTGCAAATTTGTAAAGCAGAAGCTGGAACACATCCCCAAGAGGTTGCTAAATGAATTTTTCGTCTTGAAACACAGCGTCATGCAATAGAGCTACAACTGAAGCTTTTCTCAAAGGTTGCTGCGGTTGCAGAGGACATTTCTCTTGGACGAATTTCTACTAATAGAAGAAAGGAATCGCCTAGTTATAAAGTATTCCTCGAAGAAATGCAACTGCAACTTCCATTACTGACAACCATGTAAAAGTTCTGCCAATCGCTGAACAGAAGAGCTGTTTCAAAAGCTCATGAAAGCACCTTCTTCAGCGCCCCAAAAAAAAAGTCGGGAAAAGCAAGCCTTCCCATGCAGTCTTCTGATGAATCCTTTCAGGTTTCAAATGCCCCCTTCTTCTATATTCCTCTGTAGGATGCAATAGTACACATTACTTCAAACACATGGGGTTCAAACTTGACGAAAAGCTTGCCTGAACAGAGGTTTCTGCTTGTGGAACGTATCCTGCAGGCGGATTCATTCCATTAACGTCTGGATATGCTGATCGGCCATTGTAAGCTTGAGAGGCAGCGAAACCATTGCCATTTGTATATGGCACAGTACGAAGGTCACTAAAACATAGTTTACAGTCAGATTCAGGATAAGGAACGTTTTCCTATTAAATATTTAACTGACACTGAATTCGCCCGATTAAGTTACAGTGGCTATCATTATAGCTTAACTTTCATTAGATTCTTGGGAGTCATAGAAGGGGTTCTGTGAGGAGTACGCTAAATGCGTGATGGAAGGCAAATGCTAGTATAGAGCACAACTTCATAACGTGCTGTTCACTCCTCTTCACATGGACACGTGCTCCCTAATACAATTCCGATGACTTTCACTTAATGTCATTTATGAAGTATTTCATCCTTGTGAGTGACACTGGTGGCACCCCTCTTACCAAAAAGAACGATTGGTTCTCTGCAAGGCATCTTTATCCACAGCATCTACCAGTGGCTCTTTCAAATCTCGGCGATGCGTCTCAAAACGAGAAAAATATGTAGTTTCTAATGCAAACTCAGTAACTGCTGCCTTTGTGTCTAGAAAAAATCGCTCTTAAAGGAACCGTTCGCAATAAATTTAGGGTACCTTTTTTTCGACGGGAATTGATAGAACTTCTCTAGAACAAAGCGATAACAACGAAAAAAGCGCAAAAAACGATGAACAAAAAGAGTTACAAAGGGTCAAAAAAAGAGCTGGAAAGGGGGGTTGGACGAGTTTCACATTGAAAGAACGGCTGTTAGGNGCGGTGAACGGCAATTAGATTTCGTAGTCAGCCTAGCGAGAAGCGGAGGGCGACTGTGGATAACTCTCCGGCCCCTTATTGTGCAAATCTACGTAACCATTTTTTTGTGAACAGTGCCTTTAAGGGGGTACATGGCCAGTACTATGACGCAAACTCACCGCTGATCCGGTGTATGGACTTGATTGCCGTACTGGCCACTGTGCTCCGGTTGACCACCATTTTGTGGGTACCTGGGCATGTTTGGGTTTATCTCTGGCACAGAGGACCTAAAAATTCACGAGTATCATCATTCTCTAGCACAAAAGAACCTTTCTACTTTCGGAAAGGCTAAATAACTAACAATCTTGTAGAAACAATTGATTTGAAAGAGGAAAAGTACCTGTCCGGATTTATAGGGTACGGGTTGACCAGGCCCGTGTCACCAGGATAGCCATTATTGACTAGGCCGTTAGGACCATATCTCTGAAAAAAAATGTTACCATCGACTGGACTCATCGCCAGGTGCCTGTCTTTTACGAATTCAAGAATATTTTTTAACACCGATTAAGTTTTTCAAGATGCTTAGCCTAATTCCATCATGATAGTTGTGCTTGAAAGGTCTTTCCTTCACTAGATCCAGGAGAGCGGTAATGGAGGCCCTTGCAAGGCCGATTTTGTGAGTTGGAACCAGATCGATACAGATTTGCTAAGAATGGTATTCCCTTGCAATAAAAACTTTTTTGCAGCCAGCGGTTTGTGAGCAGCGACAATCAGGGTTCATGAGCTACTTGGTACAAACGTTTAATTTATCTCTCAGTACCGACGTTATATTCCATAAATCAGCCAGCGCACCAGAACCCACGTTATTAGTTTGAGCGAAGCTGGNTCCATCATATTACTAACATCTAGACATTGGGAACGTCTAGGCTGAACGTTCCTTTACGCAAAAAGCCCAGTGAAATGCATGAGATCATTCTATGCTACAGAAATAACCAGAGCTGCTCAGGGTACGTTGCTACATTCTTGCGGACATAGTCATGAAAGACGATTCACTGGATTGCAGTATTTTAAAGGCACAGTTTGCGATAATTCAATGGGCGGGTATGTCAATGACGTGTCCGCCCCTTGAATTATCGCGAACTGTGCCTTTAAATAATTCAATTCAGCCAAACATTCTAGAGATCTCCAGAGAGAATAACACCACTTATTCAGTACCGACTTACCGTCATGCTTTCACCATTGTTATTGTATGTGGTATGCCCATTGTGTCCATTGACACCGTTTAGATTCACGACACCATTGATGGTTGGTGGTCCAAAGCCATTCGGATTCGAATTTGGCCTAAAATCAGGGCCGATTACAATGCGCGGTTATATCGAAACTCGAAGACTACTCGCCCCTAATCTTAGAGTATAAGCCTTGCATTGAGATAAGCACGCGAAAGGCAGCTATAAGAGCAGAAAAGGATGATTGAGTAGGTTGGTAACCAAAAAGTAATGGATGCTCAATTATTGAAAGGCATTTTATGTGCCAAATGGGAGCAGAAGTCGGTGGTTTACTTTATTGAAGAGGCCATTGAAGAGGCGGAAGGGCTTTTTAAAAAATGAGAATTTTTGCAGTGAGCATCGCAAATGACACCCTGATATGGCAATGTCGAATGTCGTCGCCATCGATCGGATGGAGTCATCCGAAGAAGCGGAAGAGAACGAGCTCTTCTTTCTCTTCGATCACTTCGAAAATCTTAAATCCTGTCGTATTCAGTTTTTCATCAAAGGTCCGCCTATTCATCGCTGCATCAATTCAGGGGGAGGGGGTGAAATGGTAAGTATTATAGATCCATCGAGCAACTGGGGCCTTATCTCGTTTGAAATTGTGCACCTTCCCCATTGTTCTCATAGTTTCGCCTTATTTCCCCTTCTAACGAATCCCAGTAAATATCGTAAGAAAGCACCTGATCCAAGCATTGCTCTACACTTTACTCTTGCATGAAACGTTTCATTGACCAGATTCTCGACTTACTGCATCTGCCCGTTGTATCCGTTCCCATTTTGATAGTTCTGCTGTTGATAGCTCAGGTCCGGCCTATTCTGGCCATATACTCCTCGTCGTACACCCTCCACTGTATCCTCTATGTTGTTTACTACACGATTGGCCGCGTTCTTCAGGTGATCAGCGACGTTTCCAGTAACGTTTTGAATTGTCTCTGAAGCAGTATCAATAAGCGGTATATCTTATGAAACTAAAACTTTTGAGCGTTTTCAATTTATTCAATTTCTTGCTCAACCGACTTCCTCGCCCCTTTTGCGAAGTATTTATCAAATATAGATGAAACCCTGGTGTATACTTTACTGCTACTAATCGTTGTCGTGGTCCACCAACGGTGTGCGACGGATCAATTAAATATTGTAGTAATCCGTCTCTCCCTTCTCAGTGTGAACCCTGGTCTCAGTGCAGTCTATTCAAAATCAAGCAGAGATCGGAGATCGCCCCAAAAGTGCATCATTGCCCAAGGATACAGTTAAATAAATATACCGACTATTCTTGATGTTGCTCATTTCCTCAGTGTGAATAGAAGAAAAACTACAATTTTAAGTTCATAAGTAAGAAGTAATACGAAATGTGTTTTTACGAGGCAGTTTCTGAAGTTGAATCCATTTGGTGTCGCTAACATCCGTGCTACCGTAGGCTGTCGCTAGATGGTTTCGATTACGGTAGTAGGTCTCAAAATCGCGTTGATTCTGCAGAGTTATTATTTTAATGAAGTTTACACCTTCATAAATCGATGCTAAGACAGGCAGCAGTATAAAGCTGGAAGATGGGTCGATTCTATATTATGATAAGTTGAACAAAAAATAAAATATGCGAACTTTGTTTTTCTTCGTGATTATAAGGGCATTTCTATGAAATAGGTCGCTAAAATTTACTATTGTAAGCTGAGCTTGTACCTGTTCGATCGTATTAGCCTGAGCGTATGTCCTCCATTCGGGTACGAACAAATAGAAGCAGACCCGTCTGACTATATTAAGCAGTTCGTCACCTCGTACTACATCTCTCTCAATACCGTAGTCGGGCAAACAGAAGTCGTAGCAATCAGAGCATTTCCTATCTGAAATTATGGGAGATCTAGGAACATTTCAAATTTTAGGTTTGTTATCGGACCACACACTCTTTTGATTGCTGCCCACGTAATCCAGTTGAATCCATCGCGCTCCTTCACACTCGGCAATTGGTGGATTGAACAACTGTTGAGCGTTCATGGTCATTGGTGCTGGTAGGTATTGCCAGCTCTCTTCCCATCCCTGGGTTTGTGAAGTTTTCTGTAAAATGAAATATGTTGTTATGATTATCAAAAGCTGTGGAAGGGGATGGAAAATGTACAAACTCGTCTGTTAGATAACTTTGGACATTTTTTTGAATACTGCATAAGTCTCTATTAAAGAACTAGCTCAGATAACTTTCCACCGATTCCAACAAGGTACTATTTCTACCGTGTGCCCTTTTCCATATAAACAATTTCTGACAGTTGTGAACAATAATTTCCTTAGAAAAGTCTGATTTGCAGATGTAAGAATAAACGAACTGTCTGTTCAGGCACAGTGGATTTTCCTGCAGTAAGCATTTTTAAAGTAGTCGGTCATACCACGCCCTTTCGCCACTGATAGTGATAAACAGAACCCGATCTTATGCTCATAAGTATTCGGTTCAAAAAAAAGGACGGTCTACTTGCCTCTCGCCTAATAGTAATAGCTAAAACAATTTGATTAAAGGCACAGTATTCACGATAAAAATGGTTTTTGAGATTCCGCCATGGGATGAATACGAGGCCCCTCATATACCATATTTGGCGCTATCAGGTCGGAAAAGACCTAGTTAGGGAGTTATAAAGGCTTAGCGATTGGTTCGTGTATATCGTCGGACGAGTTCCACCGATATAGTAGAGGCTGCACCGAACACAAGGGAACCCACTTAGGAAGTTCAAACAACTTGTCATGACCCATAGCCACAGTGAGAGACAGTTCTGTGCAATCCTGGTGCGATGTAGCCAGCGCTTTCTTCAGTTGCAACTACTGAAATCTCGTCCGAATACTTCCATGTTATTTCCGTCATGGTAATCTCGTTCAACCTCCATTTCCCCTACTTTTGTGGGGCCTTATTTTGCTCAAAATCGGTGAATTTTCGCGCTTTCTTCACTACCACTAAATTATTCCCAACCTATACTTCCGCTTTTCGACTGATAAAGGGTACCTCAAAATTACCTTCAAGCAAACTTTTCTATCTTAAGTTATGCGGGTTAAGCCCAAGAGTGTCCCGAACTTCTCCAGTTGTTCTATGTGAATGAACCTGAATTGGCACCACGCGGTTCTGAAGAGAGGAAGGCAGAATGGAAGCAAAATTTTTGTCGAGCATCACCAATAGAACAGAGAAAGAATTTCTTTTTTGTACTGTCTTCAAAGTTTACAAGGATCACCGACAAAACAATCTTGAACGTCACGACAAGAATTATCGTTGATGCTAACGGAGGGATTTTTCTGAGCTGATCATTGGAATGCGGTCCAAAAATCCTTCTCAGTCTCATTAAAAGTGACTGAGTGGAGGAAAGTTTTCTGAAAGTTATACTGAAAAGCCATCTCACATGCGATGCTCTTCCAGCAGCGCGCCGCATCGTGTCTGCATCGCGTAAATTCGAGCGATCGAGTGGCATCACGAAACACATCTTACTGTTGCTTTTAAGAGTCTCATCAATGACTGCGACACGATTCTGAAAGTATAATTCTATCAGAAAAACCGCCATCGAGCAAGAGTTCTGAAGGTACCGTCTTGAAATCGTAGTAACTGATGTAGTTTCCTTTGAAGGGCATGGCACCTAGCATGTGTAGTCGTATCTATAAGAAGAAGGGAGGAATAGCAGCAGTAACTTAATGTTAATGTACACGATATTTGTTGGGATTACTGTAGGATAGGTCTAGTACAAATGGGAACAGAGTTCATAGAAAGTAAAAGAAAAGCTAGAGCCAAAAGGCTTCGAAAACGATGGATGCCTCACTTGTTCGTTATCAGCCTTCATGTTGATAACTACTGGACTGTTTTGTCCACCTCGAAGTTGCTCTGGAGCTTGCCACGAGAGACGTGCTTCCTGAAAATGACAATCTCCTCGAACCAGTTCAGAAACGAAGTGCAAAATGAGAGTGAAAATGTGGTCGTAGGAGTCAGGCTATGACTTTCATGGTCGGATTTCATCAGGACAGTCTAGCACGAAAAAAATGGATTTGGCTTATGCGGAGACCTTTTTTGCTTATTTTCCATAAGAGGCCAGGCCAGTCAAAGCCAGGGAAAAGGAGGCGGTTGGCCTAGAGTCTTGTCTCGAAACATGAGTATGAACTGTGTCTTTCTATTCGTTCCTCAGCCTTCGTTACGAAAATATGTTTAGTGATCTAGGTCTGCCGAAGTTGCTCGACGTTCGAAGATTTGAAAAAAACAGCACTATTTTGCCTCGAGCTTTCATACAAGGGGTGAAAAAGGAGAGAGTGTCCCGAGAGGAAAAACTGGGAAAGAAGGGTGAAGAAACATTCGACAACTTCAACCCCAAGTATCCACGTTGTTGCTTCTTTCGATTGTTGCTTACACAGATTTCTTACAGAAAGGGAGTTAAGGCGAAAAAAAGTACGGAAGTGGTAGAATAGGTACCATGAGACGGATCAGAGATCAAATTGAAACTGTTGAGAACGTACCTTAGGAGGTTTCAGCACTTGTGAAAGAACGATCGCGGCGATAATACCAACGATCACAGCCAACACAATGAGGAAGAGCAGCATGTAACAACATGGAGTCAAAAATCTACAAAAAACGCAGTAAAGTGAATTTTTCAAAAATTTAATTCGTCCAGTTCCTTTTGACGTGGTGTAGTGGCAAGTGGCGCACCATATCACACGCACGGTCGCGGGTTCAAATCCACGATCGATATCCACTTGAGTCAATCAAGTCTTCCATCCCTTTGGGGTCGGTTAGTTGGTACTAGACTCGACTGGGAGGATAAAAGCACTGACACGTACATCGGCTGGCCATCGCAAGTTCTTGTATGGTCCACATACGCATTACTTACGCCACTACGATTCTGAATGGGGCGCATCCCTCAGACTTGGTTAACCCTAGAAGACTTTAGGACTTTTTATTCTTACAAGCAGCTCCGTTTCGTTCAATCATACAAATTACTAGAGAGCCCACGAGAACATCTACAATTTCCCGAAAGTTATCCAGACAAGCCATGTTACAGTGAAGGTTCTCGAGTTTCTGATATGACAATGAACTGTTTATTAGGTATTAATGAACGTAAAACAAACGAACAAACAAACAAACTTTTCTTTCCATTCTTGCAGTCGATTTCGCTTTTTTTGAGGTAGAGAGCCGGTAGGTGTGGCAACCACGGTCGGTGCTACCACTACAGATGGAGCTCGAGATGAAGGCAGCGTACCAGCTGGCCCAGGGGCTGCTTTGACTGGTAACGCTTGGGAACTGTTTATCTGAAATAGAACACGTAGGAAATAGATCCAGGTGAGCCTTGGTAAAAGTTAAAATCCGAATGCTAATTAAGCTCAATAGTTATTAGGGTTCTTCGAACTAGTGTTATTCAATAGGTTGATTCTTTTACGATTTTCCATTTTGTTCCATTACATTTGAAGCCTCTCCCATGACTAAAGCCAGTATTAAAAATTGTCAGAATGCGAATCAGCCCTGTTTACCAAGCTCCAGCTCAATATGGAGAAACGTCAGCTGACACTGAATCTGCCTGTATGTACTCCTGGTAGGGTGAATAGGCATTTGGGTATTTTAACTTCTTGAGGTAAAAGTCGAAAGCATGGCGTTCTTCGAGCGTATGTGTAGCCCAAAGGACTCCTCCTTATTTTCGGTCCGTCACCAGAAAAGATGCTACACGTACGTGCGGCTTTATTTCGATCACAGGTTATAAATTCCAGGTCGTGCCCCTCTTAACTACACGTAATCCCTTTGTTTGGCAATTTGTTCAACGTATGAGGAACTTAAGGACAGGAGGCACAACGGGGATTTCCGACGACTAGCCGTTCCGAGTCCTCGGCAAATAAACACCTCATAAGAGTCGGACTCGCCCACGTAGACGTACATATCTGAGTTCCTGGACTCTGCAGAATTTGAAACAAAGCAGAATCTTTTCCGCTGTTCTGTCATGCGGAGGATTAGGATACAATGAATCAAACAGTCGGCATAAGCACTTTTATATGCAATGTTGACCAAGTTACAAGGAGAATGAGTGTTGTCAGGACGACAGTATTGTTTTTGAAAAACGCAGTTGGAAGGGCAGTTCAGACGATTGTAATTACAGGACATAGTTTGGGTTCCTAGAAGTTTATGTAAGCTTCTCCATTAATAATTTCTCTTTCTCTACGTAATCTGTAACTCCTCAATACGACTAACAAATATTAATACAGAAGCTTTTGTCTGGGCAATCGAAGGCAGGTCCACTCTTTGAAGTTTCATTGACAAAGCTGCTGTTATTTCTATTTGCATAACTATTCATCAGAAACATATAGGAAGTCGCACTGATGTCTTCTTTTGAAACTAGTTTTTCTCCAGTGAAAAATATTTGTTCACGGAATGGTTAACTACTGCTAGGAAGTTTTAGTTTGGGTATTTTCAGTACGAAATTTCAGGTATAAACTTACAACAATAAAGTAAGTTGCTAAAGTCAAGTCCGAAATATTAATGAAAACGCTAGCAATACTGCAAAATCGAGGTCTTAGTCTCGCTTCTGCTTGAATACTCGGAAAAGAGTTAACTTCATATGCCGCTCTTGTACTCACCATGTGTAATCGGTAATTGTCAGATACGTAGGCAAGTTGAGATGGCGCTCGGGACGGTACCTGTTGACTGGCGTTTGATGTCTAAACATTACAGTAGAATTTAGAAAGGAATCTTTGTTTCTTCCAACGGATATTTCGTAGTACCAATTATCTATTTGTTTTTAAACTCCGTATTCTAAGCCAGCGCGATTTGGAAATCTTCAGAATAAGCAAGCAAATAAATATCACAACATTTAGACTTAATTGAAAAAGCCAGATTGAGATATCAGAATCAATCGAGAAACAGTAGCTTCACGACGGACCGCAGTGACCAACCTGCTTCACTTTTGGATAACAGTTCACTTTGTGCTTGTTAAGATTCTCATCAGATTCGACGAGATTCACCCAGCTGGCACGCCGCTTTCCGAGTCCTTAAACATGGTTTGTCGAAACCATAAATGATTAGATGCATCGAGAGACAACTCACCCGATGATCCAGAATAGTCGCTCCATGTGTCTGTCTCAGTTACGGTGCCACTCGAAGTACGATAAGCAGGTGGCGGACCTGGAACATTCATAAGATTTTCGATTTTTACGTCAAGAGGCAGATTCCCCTACATTGTATTTGGCCAGGAGTCCGTGGGGGTCGAATAGGAACCATGTATATTGGTGACTCCATCACAGAGGATCGGGCATCCTCACATGGGAATGACTGAATGATAAGGTATATGACACCCTGAGGTCAGCTGTTGTCAACAAACAAATGGGCTCGGATTCATGCCAGTCGTATTGATTTCATGTCCGGGACTGCCAGGTAACCTCCGCCCTCGCTACTTAATTATCGCCGATAAGCTCATCGGATGTCGATGAAGGAAGCTAGTGGGAATGGCTTGGAGGAGACTGGTGAAAGTGACGCATCCATCTCGCAACGGAAAGATCGGATTGGAAAAATTCGCCCATACATGTCTGCTGGTTTTTCAGTGTAGCTCAAGAAATAGGAACTGACCATGTGTGCCTCGAGCCTTTGGCTCTTGATCGAATGACAAGAAGTTAGATGGCAGTCGAGCCATCTACCTTCTGATATCTTTCCTGAAAAGGTTTCAATAACATTCACTGATCCGGATGTGGGACGATGTATTTTTGTGCGGTTTTCAAAGCAAACTTTATTTACTGCTGAAAAATTGGGTCTGGTTATTCTGACGATGACTGGCATGTTGTGGAAACCAAGTCAAACAAAACTAAAAAGTCAGATCGGTAATGAACAATGGCTACGTACACACATAGAGAGACTGAAAACAGTCCGCGAGTGGATCGGCGTGTCGAGTGTATTCAAGACTTACAGTGATCGACACGTAGTGCCAGCATAAAAACTCAGGGATGAAGCTCATTGGGAAGGGTAAGGAGAAAGGCTAAACTCGACTTGAGATTTATATTAGGACATCGAAGTTATAAAATGTTCAACCACTTGGAGTCAAAACAGTTCCGCATATTGAAAATCTAGTTCAGGTTGGAGTATCAGGGTGGAGTTTGGTAAAATCAGGAAATCTGGTCGAAATCCTTTGATGGACCGTTTCACATGGACTTAAAAAATATTTTTGAGATGGAGTTTACATCTCAATCTTCAACCGAACCAGGTCCCTTCTCGCCATTATAGATATCAAGTGAACCCGTTTTCTATCAAAACAATTAGTCATTTATCTATCCAGGAGTCGATTTCTGCTGAGAATCAAACGGAGCTGCTGATTCGGACCTGCTGGATTTCGAATCGTTGAACCACATGTCACCTGCTTTGTAGAATCGGTATGAATTTCAGAAATGGCCCTTAGCTTAGGCATGGCCGAGGCGGTGGCAACCTTTCATCTCTACTAAATCTTCCACCAATTTATGTTCGTAATATTTATTTGTACCCGGAACTGTTCGCGTGCAACATCGGTGTCAGCTGGCAGGTGGCGCGAGAACGTGCTTTGTTTGCTTACGTTGCAATGACCAGAAGCAGCGACGCTTCGTCGTCGAAAAGACAGTCTCAGCTTCTACAAATTCATTTAGCCTAGCCTCTTTTATATAAGTGAGCTTTAACGAAGTACTGGCCACACTGCTCGGCAAAGGTGTGATTAACGGCGGCCGAGCTAGCTAATCCGTTGATTGGCTGCTATGGCTGCCACGACAACTGACCACCACAGCTCTAACTGATATAAACCAGAGCATGCGGGCGAGAGAGGGGTTCCAGAGGGTTCTCCCATTAAGGAAGAAGGAGACTTCCGATTCTCTCCATTCCACTCCGTCTGTGTTAATCTACGGAAATACTTTAGAGTCTTGATATTTCTCTACTCAAGGGGATTTTGAGCCCTCAAAAAGACCACCCGTAGCTGCGTCCTGAAGACCACAGATTTTGTGAGGGAGTTCCGAATTTTCTCTATGCAAGTGGAAGGAGAAACAAGACAGACAACTACGAATCAAATCTCGGCTATGAGGTGAGAATAGTGAGGTTCTGGGCAAAAAGCATGGCTGGCTCCTCGGGGTTCGCCCATTCAGGCAATGAAAGCGAAGGAGTGGAGCACTTTTTCGGAAGGCTCAATAAAGGGAGGCCAACCACTTGAAGGCAAGCTTCGAGTGCTGTTCTTTCGTATAACAGAAGAAACGGCTAAGATATGCTTCTGTCATTGTCACTAATGAATTCGATTAATAATTTCAATCATAGAGTCAAGCGAAACTCTTCATAATACACTTTTTCCTCGTGATAGCAAGGAGAGATAGGAGATGGAAGGACCACAACACGGTTTGAAGAAATTGGTACATACAATTCAGAGTTTTTATGCCATGAGAAGTTTAGAACCACGTGCAGAGGCCAAACACCTATGATAATCAATGTGCATTCGTTGTCTTCGGAGGGGTCGGTATTGGTCTGGGCGTCTATTTTACGATAAATTCGAAATTAATCATAAGACGGAAAGAAGAATGAGTTCGAGCTTTAGAATGGAGGTCGAGTTACTATTATATGACGCACTGAAGAGAATATTAGGTAGCTTCCATGAAAAGATGGCCTTAACATATTGAGAAGACGAGTCAGGTAGCCGCCTGGAAGCAGATTGGAACGGGTCAGTGCGACTCGCGCACCCGTATTCGTTTTGACGGCTAGCCTCATAGGCAAATATTTGGTAGTAGTGCACCTCGAGAGACTCGGAATGAATTAGTGAAGAGAATATGGCCTGCGATGAGAGCTCATAGAAAGAGACAACTCAAAATTCACAAAGCTAAAATTAAAATTTACTTAGACAAAAATTTGGACGGTGTACGGGGGAAGTTGATGGTGAAAAGGGCAGTTCACGCGGATCATCAGTGTAAGGCCCATTCGGGTAGAATGCGTGAGATTATGCGGTAATTATTGTCGGTGCTCAACCAACCAACGTAAGTCGCTTTGAGTCGTACCGTTATCGCCATAACTGCGCTACAACACTTGTAGAACCAGGGCGACGGTGAGTACTTCATTGTTCCTAACAATGACTTCTACGAAATCGCAGGACTAAAAGATGGCCCGATAGCTTACAATGTTATAAGAGTGTTCTGTAGGTTTAAGGGACTTTTGTGACTTTCGAATTATTGTGCATGGTCGTCCTTATGAAAGTGTTAGAAGGCCTGACTGGCGACGTGAAGAAGCTGGCTGTCCATTGTTCACACAATCAACCATGAGTTCATTCCCTGACTACCGAAGATGAATACTCTGTGGATCTGCTTGAACGCAGAAGAACATTCGAGTGGTAAAGAGCGATACACGTGTTTCTGCTGGTATCCCCCCTCCCGATGAGTGTGGAGTGCAACCTTCTGTACAAAAGATTTCTTGTGCTCGTTGGTCCCCTTTCATACTCTCACAGTGCTAGGACTGATTTTATTTATAGCGTTTATGAATGCGTTCTTTCTAGTTGTTGTTATTTATTGTTGTTGTTAGTTGTAAATATGGAGAGAGACAGAAACGAAGAGTTTATACCCAATGAATAAAAGACATTTTTCCGAATTGATAAGAAATCACAGTGAAAGAAGAACTTTTCGTGTGATGTTAAATGGAGCATGTATGAAAGATACAGTGTTGAAATGTAATATGATACATCGCTGAACTGTTTACTCGTCCTCAATTTCGCACAGGAGTCTTCAGGTGAAAGAATGCTGTTTTCCGGCATGACGTAGTACTGATGAGATCGCTGTAAAACTTCGGGATGTCTTCCTCTTGGAGATGGATTTCAAGAGCAGAGATTTTGTGCGTTACAGGTTGATTGGGATCCGAAAAAGGTGAACACTACTGGAACTACAACACTTACCATCTCTTTGACAAATTGAAATATACTGCCAGTGAACTATAGTAAAAGTTAACTGTATGAAGTGGAATTACAACAACAACGATCGATGATTGTAGCTTTGGTTAGAGCCAGTGGTTCGAACTCTATGATCAGTGTGATTTATCTCACCAGCGGTCCGGCAATCGTCCGCTAACTCCTGCGTGACAACGGAGCGGAGAGCTTGATCAACAATCGTGGAAATTAACTCTAAGAAATACCGTACTTAGCAGTTCTTTACACCCGTTCTGACTCTTCTTCAACTGATGCAGCCGATTATGGTGATCTGATCAGCTTCTGAACATTTTTTTTGCACCTTTTCAGCACATTGTTGAAAAGTGGTGCAGATTTTCGATAACGGCCCCGCATATTTATGTGCCTGATCAACCATTCACCAACTCTGTTCCCAACCATTGCAAGTTCTGCCAGGATCGAGCACGGAATACGCTCAATTAACATATCTTTAATGACTTGATTCATTCCTTACTTCAACTTGACCGTGCATTCCTACTCACCAATCAGTTATTGCGCATTTTGCGCATGCCCCGCCTGCTTGGGCGGGAGCGGGCCCTGACATGTACCACCAGTGTTCCCATTTGGTAACCTGTACCAATACCGAATTTGAGCACTCCAGGTCTTGATAACAGGAGGTATAAATCCTTGGCCACACACGCATAAAGTAGTAAAGTAAGGTTATCTGCAGCATACAGCGTCTAGTTATCGAACTACGATAGCCAGTGCGTCGGGAGGTTCTGATAAGGGGTACTTGTTTCACCCTGATCACATATTTTGATATTTTTTGCATTGTAACTGTAGCGAAGGAAGGAAGAGGGACCTTGGGTGATGCCACAGTGTGCATGTTATTAATCAGTATTACCTGTAGCTACCCACTGTAACCAGGTGGCAGGAGCTCGTAATTGAGAGGAGATGATTGCGTTTGCGTCACTAAGTTGCCGAGTAACATAGCCTGGAAAGTAGGACTCATATAGAGAAATGCACTATATGAATAGGTAAAAACAAACTTACGTCAACCTGAGCTTTGCTGTAGGGATAGTACGGCTGAAAGAGTTGTGCGTAGTACTGGTGTTGAGGCTGATACTCAGGTGGTACCATTTTACCGATTTCGGCTGTGAGCATTCTAAAAAAGAACGCATGAACACATAAGACCCTCATCAGGAAAATTTCAAAGAATATTTTTTTCGTTGTTATCGATCAGTAACTTTTCAGGATGTTCACAGGCACTGGAACTCTCTTCGAAATTATAAATTCGTTTGAACCGGAGCTTGGAGTGAACAATGATTTGCGAGGCCCATCGATAGACGATTCACTGCTTTTGTTCCCCCAACCGCTTTTCTTTCAAATGGTGATATCTTTGCAAGCATCGACGAGTCTTCCATGATAAGTCACCTCCTGCGATTCTGTTCTTCAGAACAAGCTGTTACTCGGCACTGTCGAGGGGCGTTTTTGAAGGATGTTAGAGTACAGAGATGACCATTTGAATCGTCAAGAGCAGCGACATCGCTGCTCCTCGCCCTCTTCCATTTTCTGACTACATCTACTTCTATTTAGAACTATGGAATTTCTGATGATAAGCGGTCAAACAATGTGTAGTGATAGTTGTTATGAAATAAAGGTGATGGGTGGGTAACAACAGCAATTCTTAGAGTGAAATTGCAATAAAACCCTTTTTTATGAAAAAAAATCAGATTAAGTCAACAAATACGAACAATATGAATTGCAAGAGGAAGCAGATACCTCATTCTGACAATCACTACTCCGTAGCATTTTAGAGGTGTTTCATACCTCTCTTATATGACTATTCAACCATTGACTTTGGTCAGAGGTCACCCCAGGCTAATCCTACTACATCATTACGTAAGGTACTCCCTCCACTTATTTCAATACGTGTTCCAATCTCTCTTCGACTTATTTTTTGGATCGGACAGGTCGTACATTCAGGTTCAATAGCTATATTTAGAGGAGCAGTATCAATGGAGATTGCCCAACGTGCTTTCATTACGCTGCCAAGGGAACTATCGAAGATGTGCCACATTACATTAGTTTTCTTCCATCACTCTACCTGTAGAACGCTGGAAGATCGTCGATGGATTCATAACGTGGTCCTCGCGGACGTAGGATTTGTGATGGAACCATCACCATCCAAACTGCTAACAAGGCCAACTTCCGTAGCATGAATCTAAACGAGGTCCTAATCAAATAAAGCCTTCTATCGAATCGAACTGTTTGGATATTTCTACCGGCATTAGCAAAATAGCTTTCTCGAAGGAGAGCCACCTAAATAGTAATTATAACACAGGACAAGTCGTTCATAGCAAGGAGACATATGATGACTTAGAGGCCTTAACGTTACGAATGCAACCTTAGTCTGGCGTATTATTAAGGAACAGGACGTCTCTTTAAAAAGCCCTGAGAGAAGCCGGTTCTCTTTGCGCAAAACATTACTGTGTTAGCCAATAATGTAGCCGACAACGGTTCGGAGGTCGGCTTCCAAAATTGATCAAGTTCTGAGATGTATATAGTCTGCAAGAGGGAATTCTATGCATTAGCGACATCTATGTACAGTGAATAATCACTCCCTTGTGATTCCCAAAGTTGTTTTACTAGAACACCGTTACCTGAAAATGCTGAAAACCTCAATAGACCTTTGATCATTACACCTTCAAATTTATATATAGAATTACCTTTGTGTTGAAGAACGTTCACAATAACTGAAAAGTGATTGATTACTGAATTTATGGAAACTCTTTGGGAGTTAACCAGGCCGTTTGAGAAATGCGCCCCACATTCGATTTCCACTCAGAATCTTAGTGGCGTATCAAATGCGTAATTGGCAGGTGCGGTGGTCAGCCGATATTACAAGTCAGCGCTTCTATCCTCCTAGACAGGTATAACACCAATAAATCGATTCCGGAGGAAAGGTCTGGTTGGCTTGAGCGGATATCGATCCGGGATTCGAACCGGTGACAGCTCAGGTGCCTGGGACCCTTCAGGCGAAGGTGGTGTATCGCTTAATCACTTGTCTGAAATCAGTGTGGGTCTGTAGGGCATAAGTGAGGCAGTGATATATGCCTCAACAAAACAGACGTGATTCGTCGGCCAATCACGATATCAATGCATGCCCGGAATAAGCACGCCTTCATCGGCTCCGAAGCGCTTAGTTGATGCCGTTCTTCTCTGGAATGTTGACTGTACATATATGGCCTGACCCCACAGCAAGTCATATTATGTGCTACATCTAAATTCAAACTCACCCTGTGGTTCTAAATGGAAGCGAAATGCGGAGACATATTATAAAAATCGGATTGATCAACGCTAGAAAATCCCTCGCACTTTATTTTTAATGTCAATCTTTGAGTATTGATGTGTATGTACCTGGTGAATAGCTCCAATAGTTTCGGGAACCAGAAAAACATGCACAATTTCAACTTTTGTCTGTTGACTAGAAAGACATTTCAGTTTTTTTTTGTATGATTTCACTACGTGATCTTCAAAAAATATATGCCGAAAACTTCACAAAAAACCAGTTCATATGAGTGTAGGTTTCTTTTGGAATACTCTGACATGACATATCAAAAAATTATGAAATCCGCAAGGGTTGACCGATCCGGTACTTACGTTCGATTTCCTTGTCATGACGCTGAAGGTTTGAAATGACAATTAAATGAGGGCACAAAGTTTGAGAAAGACTCGAAGCCCGAGTGCTTGACTCATATTCCAATGAGCTTCAGCAGCGCACTACTATCTCGGTACAAAGTGATGAATAAGTGGAAGACAGTTCATTCGTATAATGTTAAATAAACAATAAGGAGGACTTAAAAATTGGTATCACCTGTGTCAGTTGAAGTCTCGCTGGTCAGCGATTTCTTCGAGCAGGCGCCAATAACTCCAATCCTCCCTGTCGCGAACCAGGGTGGTCCAGTAGGTCTTCCTTCTTGACGGAATCTGATCATCGCGCTGGCGGCCATTCTAGTATTCGTAGCATTCCCAAGGAATTCAACCACTAACCACCTTGGATAGCGGTCATCACAAAATCGCACGACGTGTCTTCCTTACCTGTTCTTCTTCGGCGCACTTAAGGCGTCCCCGATGTTCGTTATTGGAGGAACATAAGACTTCGAAGCACCCTTTGCTCTTGCGCATCTAGAGGAATTCCAAACATAGACCTTGCCACTGGGCGTTGAATGACGATGTCTCCAGGTGGGTAGCGATCCTTATGCAGCAACTCGTTGAAAACTCTTAATACATTCCAAGAGGAAATCTGGACAGACTCTGACTAAAGCTGGCATAATTTCGAAGAAAAATCAGTTGAACGCTGTGGAACTGCAGCGGGTTCCTTTTCCATTTGAAACTATTTCTGGATTTCAAGGTTTTTTCGCTCTTGGCTTTTTGTTTAAAGAATAACAGTCGTCCGACAGAAAGGAGGAGCTGTACTTGCGCTCTGATTTGGTGTAGGTTACCTTTAACACTTTTAATCTGTTACACCCGGTATAAGCAGCTGACTTCATGACGTAAGTGAATGGAATATCTATCCACCCTTTTCACTCGTGTGATATAAGCTTCCAAGGAGAGCAGTACTGAAAAAAGCCCAAATAGCTAACATCGATAGGGTACTCTGTCAAATAGGCCCGCTTGAAGTCACTGTTCACGATAGTTTTGGGTTGTCTATTTTCAGACAATTACTGGAATTGGTAGTCAAGAATAGTGCAAAAGGGGCGAAGAAAACCGACAAAGGCGCTTTTGAGGCCCTTATTACGCCTTTTCTTGACTGTCTGCCTAGCCAACAGGGTCCCTCAGACTTTTTTGAGAGTCATAGGTTCATTAAGTTATGTCCCACATTTTCAGCTAGGCCTCTGAATTTCTAAGATGTATTTATGAACTAAACAATTGCTCTTCATACAAAAAGGGGGAACACATCGAATTCTGTTTGTTCTGTTTCACTTCTTCCCTACCCTTTACCAACTTGTGGATACTTGGAGACTACCAAGAACTATGGGTATCTGTGCCACTTTCGTTGGGAATCCCTAAATAAGTCTTCCACTCACCTTTTAGCCTTGCTCGGTGAGCCCTAGGTGATAGTACTCAACGTGGCCTCCTTCGGAACATACACACATACAACGATGGCATAGGTAGGGTTTTTAAAAAGACTCTCCCATACTTTCACTTATTCTTTCGAGTCAACGTTGAGAACTGTAAATAAATAAACTACTCGGTGAACAGTTTCACCCAGTAGAGCACAACCTGCAGCTCACCCACCATAACAATGCATCGGCCAACTAATGAATTGACCTCAGCTTTGGTTTCTACAGAATCAAGCAAGACAAACCTCTAGTGACAAGCATCTTGCCATTTATGCCTTTAGAAGAATAAGGTTGCAGTGGGTATATGGATATTACTATCAGAAAGACCAGTGAGGGTATTCTCATTCAACAAATGGAGACGTAGCAACTATCAACTAATGCCATTCGAAAATTAAAGAAAGTCTGCCAAGTAGAATAAGGCGTGCATACATTAGACTTTATACCACCTACCATTCTGGTAAAAATCAAAACCGTGTACCGATCAGGAAGTGGTAAATATGGCGATTTCATAACATTCCATGCTTTTGGTGTAATGGGTCAGGAAGCGCCTCTTGCGACGCATCCTGACTCAGAACACAGGTCATTTACAGGGCAAAGATGAAGGGCTCATTACAACTAGCCGGAATCGCACAATTATCAATTTTTGACGTGATGGAATCTTCTAACTCCTATAGAGCTTGTTGAACTGGAGAAACCTAAAATGAACGGCTGAACATCAAATATTTATTCCGCAAATCGATTTCCTATCCTTAAAACGGTATCCATTTATCAAAAATGAATCGAAAACAGAGTATACACATGTATTTCAACATCTTGAAAAGACTGATGCTTTTAAGCAAAAGTAAGATGTATAATACTGACAATACTTTTGGACTGAGACATATGTATGTCTTTGTTCTTCTTCGTTGTTTGGTGACGTACTGTTATGTAGTGAGAGGCTGCTGAAATCATTCACTGGTTTGCAAACGGAATTCAATAAAATGAAAAAATTGAGATGCCCATACATAGGCCGTATTCCTCACGATACTTCTCGTTTTTATATTTGTTTAAAGTGTGACAAAGATTATCTTCAAAAATCTACCTGACGAAGAGCGATAGTCAACGGAAGTGGAATGCTTTAATTGAGAAAAGGTTTTAATATTGAGGCAGTTTGCCTTTTTAAGATTGAAAATGGTGGACGTGCAAAGCCGCTATTTTGTATATGGCGGTCCAACCCTCTGCTTTCGCTCTCTGAATCTGTGAATCCCTAATCTTTGTTTAACTCACGTCAGAGTTCACCTCCTTTACAAAGCTTTCTTTTCGAGCCTTACTTCAATAATGACAACTTAATCAAGGTAATCGATTACCTTTACTATCAGCCGAAGCCATTACTGTTATAATAGTTATTGACCGCAGTTTGAATCCAACCGAATTGAGGAGGAGTTGCTGGCATCAGTTGGTTCCCTTGTAGCATGTACTAAAAACATTGTTTCGATAGTCAATCGAAATTGAGAGAAGAGATCTACCTCAAGCTGAGCCTCGCTGTACGGCACGTATGGTTGGAAAAGTTGCGCATAGTACTGGTGGTATGGCTGCGCTTCTGGTGGCACTAGCCGGCCAATTTTTGCTGTTAACATTCTGAACAACCAGATAGTCAGAATGGAAAGACAAAATTCCTTCCTAATAACTATTTCGGAACAAACGTCAGGTTCCCTGAGGCTACAAACCAGAGAGGACTGTGGTTTTCGCTTCATTAAAGCTCAGAGGTGTAGCGTTCTAATACAGGCTGAAAGTTGTTGGAAACAAAGACAGCAAATGTGGTGTACTTGTAGAATTCCGGTATGTCGTCGACAGAGTTGTATTGTCCTTTGGAGCGGGCGATCTCGCGTTCGCGTTCACGTTCACGTTGATCTTCACTTTGTTGTGGTTGCACCAGTACAATAAAACAGTAAACCACCGCCAGAGTGTATCTCAGCATGACTACTCTGAAAGTAAGCAAAGAAAGTCAGGTTCTTATCAAGTAGAACATAACATAGCAAATAACTGGAGCATTTGAGGAATAGATGAGTTGAGCTCTCCGCAGCTGCGCATAGCATGGTGTTGACGTGGACTGGGCCAGATGTACAAGTCGGGATCGCCTTAAGAGAAGCTGATGATGACCAGTCACTCTAATGGCGCATTAGCGAATTAGTCATAGCTAGAGCCTGACTCACAGCATTTGCATTACCAGCTCTGCGAAACGTACTCGCTGGTGGATCACAGAAGTAGATCTATCGAATTTCATCAATCTTCTGATTCTGGTACACGCTCAACTTCATATCAAACCCCCTAGGAGGCTGGCTGCTTGAGTAACATTCCTTGGCAAGTCTAACAGAGGCTATTAATGATTATTTCTTTTGCTACAGGAATCTTCCACCTCCGTTCTTTGAACCACTTCCATACCCGTTATATTGCGAGTCGCAGGATTTTTAAAATAACGAATTGCACTTTTCAGTAAACTAAAAGTAAGTGTTGCAAAGGGTAACTCTGTGCAGCGAATGACAACAAACCGATACATGGAACTTTGTCGTGCAAATATCGGTAACCTATTCGTCTGAGGCTGTGAATCCTCTTGCTTGAAACATTTTTTGGCTGGTCTCCAGGGAGTTTTTAATGAAATCTTTGCAACGGGCCATGTTGTAGGAGAATCCAACACCCAGTACCGCTGACGTCTTTTCGTTTATGATCGAAAACCAGATAACCGTGTGGGCTCCATTCTTTCTCTCTTTTCTGGAAAACTGCTTTTGTCCTCTGTCAAAAGTAACATTGTAATTCATTGTGTTCTGTAGGATGTTGCTTTCGGTCAAGTATTTGAGGTAGATGATTGATTGAAATCATTAAATTGTAAGTCGCTCCGTGCAAGCTCAGCGTCGATAGAGCCTTCCAGATGAATCGGACAAAGCATTCCAGTGCGGAGGAGAGAGGCGGAGGACTTCGTAGGTGAGTTTATGGAGATCTGGTTTGTGAACGTAGGCGACGTTACCATCTTTATCTCAAAAGCGAAGCCGTCGCCTCATTGAGCATAACCTCCTACGATCAAGATCAGCTCTGTGTACCGATGTATTGCCATCCTATATCAGTATTTTTATGAGTCTTTTGTCTTTAGTGAACATAATCCGCTGTGGACACAAGCTTCTTATTTGAATAAACTTGCTAAGGGCAGGTCAATATGGTTCAGAAGAGTTTGGGGACATCAGAAACTTCCCGAAGCTAGGATGTTCCTCAAAGTTGAGCAGAAAGTTTATCACATTGGAAGATGATGTTTGTTAGTTGTGTCATTACAAAGAGTAAAATGTCGTATTCACACCGGCACTAAGCGCTCGTAGTTTTGCCAGCTACTCGTATGTATTGTGGATATTGATCCTCATATTATATCATATCAATGAAATGTAACAGGAAGAGGTTTCCGCTGATTAAGGTTTAACACTCTTTTAGGCATGTCACGACTGATTACTATCTAGACCTCATTTACTGCATGAGACGATCAAGGTTTCAGAAGCAGAATATTCCCGCCATCGTTCACTACATACATTGTCAAACACTATCACGTAGCTATGATTCAGCCCTCGACGTAAACTATCAATTCTATGATGACATCAGTTATACAAGACCACTTGGGCTCCGCACACTATGCGTGCTTCAAACAGATGATTTTTTTCGGCTCTGAGCGCCATCTATTAAGAATCTGGCAAGAGCATGGAGTGGGTTGTGGCTTCATCCAAAAAGGTTGAAGATAAAACTCCACCCACCGCGGATGAGTCTACTCCGTTCGTTCTGCTGACCTGTTCCTAAACCTTGCCCTTTTCTGACCATCTCTGAGCAAAATTATGCTGTTTGCCCATTTTGGTGCATGCTCTACCCCCTAGGAGCGGAGTCTCCCGAGCGTGTTCTGTGATCTTGCTCGAAGCCTCAGCCATTCCAAAGTTCACCTGTTTTCTTTAGGTAATACCGAATGTTGGGTAAATAGAAATAAGTTCCTTGTGAAGTGATTGATACTGATGATTCATAGATAGTAATGGTTGATGATTACTCCTCATATAGAGTAATTTTGAAACGTCGAGGAAGTCTTCGAAAAGAGTTGTGATCTGGCTCCACCCACTAAGTGCAGACCCCGCCCATCTCGAGGATTTGACCACATTTCTTCTATTGCCTCCAACCATTTTTTTCCTGCTCTCTAGAACGTGTTCGTCTCCGGTCCTAGCCCCACCCGCCTCAGTGGAAACCCCACCAACTTCAAAGGTTTGACCAAATTCCTTCTATTACCTCTAACCACTTTTTTCTTGCGATTCTGAGCAGAGTTATATTTAATTTAAAGAAGTAGCTTCCATTCCAATGCAAGCCTCGCCCATCGTGGGAGTAGCTTCGTTATGTTTATGCATACCCAGCACGCCTAAGGTCTTGCTCACTGTAATTTTTTTTTGGCCTCCACGCCTCCCTTGGATCGAGTTATGAGCTTATGTGGAAAACACCGCTCATTCCGAAAGCGATTCGCCCACAGCCTGTGGGTCCCCTCCACCCCATCTGTTGACCTATCCCTTACCTTTACTCATTACAGCTCCGGAGGCAGAGCTCCGCAAAGCTTATATATTCTATTGTGCTTACCCTGCTCAAGCCATTTCAAGCTTGATCCGAACTCTCCATGCGTTTCCTCTGTAATATCAAATTTTATGAAAGACAGACAAACGCGAGCGCTTTATATGTAGTGGTAATGAGTTGTATCTTGAGAGTGGAAAGACCTCCCATTGTTTCTGGGGAGGGGATCATCACCTATTGGGAACTGTGGATGGAACATTGTGAATTCTTTTAGTACTGAAATTCTATTGGAAAATTCTAGTATACCTCAAGCTACTTGAGCTTTGTGAATGGAGATCAGAATGTTGGGAAGTAATTTTGGGAATCTCGTGAAAGTTTATCAACCTCACAATGTTACGGAACATCTTGTTATCAATTTTATTCGGATAAGAAGGGCTTTCATCATCGCCTGAAGATGTTTCGAGATTTTTTCTACAGCCCGATCTAACTACCATGTGACAACGAAGTAAGGCGAAAAGCTGGAATCAAAAAGGAAACTTTTGAGGGGCGTTCCTCAAAACAAATAAAGGCAAGACTTAACTCCAGTAAATGGATTTTTGTAAGCGACGTTCACTATCGTCGTCGAAATCTGAAATTTATACTGTAGAGAGTGAATTTTAACTCCTGAGAAAGTGATTGAAGGGTTAAAAGTTAGTTCCGATTTCAATGCAATTGAAAAAACCTACTTTTAAGGGTCGTCATTTTTAAAATTACGAAATTTGATGTTGGCTTCGAGTAATGAAGTTTCAAATTTTTATTCCTAAATCTCTCACCGAGACCATACCATATGAAACTGTGGCTTGAAATGAGAACGTGTCGCGGTTTATTATATCGGCAATAAACGCCAAGTCTGTGAAGCAAACAAACCGCTACCGTTGGACGAAAATTGACCGACGGACTGTTGGTTCAGAAATCAAACGCCGATCGTTTTTCACATTGCTTGCTCACTTCCAGATTCTTGTCGGATTGCGCTGCTCTATAGATTTATGAGTTTTATATGCTCATAAGACGAATCGCATCTGCTTCTTCCAACAATCTATTGCTCTCCGTGCCAGGTAAAGTTTCCGTCCTTAAAGAACAACTTGTGGCCAACAAATGAATCGCTTCGAAGATTAAAGAAATGGCTGACGTTAACCACATCCAATTCACATTGTCGGACATTACGTTCAACTCTATGCTACATACTATCCTTCTCATAACGGTAAACTATTGTAGATCATTTCTTGAGGTAAGAAAGCGTATGGGACCCCAGTATGCTGGGAAGCTAAACGACAGGCATTTCGAGAGGTTAATGTCCGTCACTACCATCGTTTTCCTCTGGTAACTGTTTGTTGATATTGACAAGTGCGATTACGAAAACATCACGGACCCGAAGTAAGCGAGAGTCGAAAATCGAACTTGCTCACTTTATGAGCTGTTAAGAGCTCGATGCTATGGTCGTCATTTATTATCCTTACGTCAGCTGCAAACAACTATCAGCTCGAAGTCTAGACGGATGGATCTCCTCGGAGGCAACCCCAACAACATGGTTGATTGTAAACTAGATTCGAAATGATTTTTTACTCTCGTTCATTGCTTGAAGTGTTTGAATTTAGATCTCTGATACTTTTTCATATCATTCTATATATTTGGGTATATTGGTGGGCCTAAAGTCGTTTTTGTCGAAATTTCTTTCGTTTTTCAAAAAGGGCGAGTTAACGATTCAAACCTTGCTATAGCCTCATTACAAACTGTAGCGCTTGAATGCCCACAGAACTATCTGATTTCTGTGGAAGGCTAGCTAACGTTCACATTACTAGTGCTCTCTTCCTTCTGCTCGAACGATACTTCAGAAATAAAGAGATGACTTGCTAATACTGACCTTCCTTTTTCGCTATCATTCAGTCGTTCAATGAAAAATAAACATCGACATGAGCTGAACCATTGGAAAACTTGAATAATGCCCTGTTTCCGTAGCCGCTTATAACTATTCTACCGCAACGCTCCTTAAAAGTTTTTTTCCTTACAGAAACGTAATTTCAATCGTGTTTCGAGCTCTGCCTTCTCACCCGTCTTTATCTATGACTACCAAACAGCTTTTCTTCAGCAGCTTCATGTGCAACAACTGAATCAATTATTCCTGAACCAATAGTGCCTGTCTGTTCACAGAACTGTTCACGCCCTGAGCCGCTATCCTAATATAATGGGTCCCCACATTTTTTCTAATGGCAACCACAACCAGCATTTCCGAGCATTCAAAAAATTTCTTAATTACCATTTCCTACTCATTTTCTAACTTGGTTGTAGTGTAGACAGTGAACAATTCTTTCAAACATGGCGCCAACAGTGAATACTCCCAAGAATACGGAGACGGAGTTGCTCAAAAGATTCTTTTTCGGGAATCAAGTATCGCAGTATTTCACATGGGAGGCTTAAAAGAGTGTGAGAAGGACTCGAGGCATATAGAAAATTGTGACAAATGGGAAGTGGAGATTATGGATATGACTACCTCTTATCCAGTTTCCTGTAGCCCCTTCAAATTCGAGGTACTCCTTCCGAACACGTGGTTGAGCAGACAATGTGTACCTTATATATTCCGTGCCTTGTTCGCGCTGAACTCTCATCTCCTTTGTACGATTCGGTGTCGGTACAACGGTGGTAAATATTGTAGTGGCGAGTAAATATGCCATAACAATCGGTCTACTAAGAGTTTTTGTAAACATTGCCTTGTTTATCAATTTCCTTGAGGTTAACTCCGGCAAAAACCTTGTTTTTTCCTATTTCCTCAAAGAGCATTTTGCCCCCTGATGCTCACTACGCGTTGCTGTCGAGAAGAAGTACTCCCGTCTTCTCCCGAAATGCATAGTTTCTACGAAACTCGTGGCGAGAACTTGAGGAGCTATATTGAACGTGGGCTGATTGTTTATGCCCAAGAAATGTTCTGTGTATGACCGAAACTACTCAACAACTGAAAAATGTAACTAAATGAATATCTGACAAAGTCACTTCCAGGGTAATATCCTGTTTACAAATTTGTTCGATGTGGTTATCTTATGAGGTCATCCTTGGAGTGACTGAAAGTCGAGCAAGGTGGCACAAAAAGATTTCGATTGAGAATTGTGTATCGGTTGAGTTGTTTAGAACTAATTCGAAATACTAACCAAGGAAGGGTACCCTACCCCTCCCTGGAAAGCGGGCTGACATTTCATATATCTAGTTTATTGTTGTCAGAGAACCTACCATGATGCGCCATAGTTGAATATTCCACTTCTGACCGTTACAGCTATTGTAGTTCCCTGTAAGTGATTGTTATGTTTTCTGTCCACTAGGGATTCTGCACTCCTCTTGCCAGTCTACAAAACTTATTTCGGACGTATACTGGGTTAGGAAACCTCGGTCCATGGACAATACAATCAAAACGCTGAAGGAGTGCGAAGCTTTCACCAGAATCGATAATAAGGGTCCTTGGCTTTATGCATGGCCTTTCTCTTCTGCTTCTACCCTTCCACTGATAGCAGAGATTCGACTCTTTTTAGATTTGAATTTAGAAGCCATAACAATGGTCAGCTATTGTTTCACTTGAATGGCAGTGTGGATTGAGATTTATTGTGGACCCACTGAACCTCGCTGACATAGGCGGCAGGACAAAGGAATCCTGTCTAAGGGATGTCTTTCGTTCTCCAGCCGAGTCTGGCACCAGTTAATCAATCTTGGAGAGAGGGAAGGCCTAAATGCCAAGGCGGATACCGATCAGGGACTCAAACCCATGACCGTGCGCCTGGTACTGCATTCCTTGCCCATACACAACAAGTTGAATTAGGCGCAAATTTTGCATCCGCGGGGTGGTTTCCTTGTCTTAAAGTTGCGCACGCATGGAAAATGGGATAGTTCCAGAACCTTGCATTACATTAAAAGATTCCCAAAGCAGTTGTTGTTCAAATCCGTAATCCGCTCTATACATGAGGATCTCTCCTTCATATGCATCACGACACTTTCCGCTTTCATGTGGAACGCATATCTATGGTGGCTCTTGAACGTCTCGGGGTTTATTTTAGACATTATGAATAATGCACGAATTCATATTCTATTCTCTGTTTCCGCTAATTTATTCGTGAATAAATGAATAGATATCTATGTTTTGCAGTTCCATATTATTATAGCTTGGGAAAAATGCATGTGTTCCCATGGAACTATTGCCTAAATACATAGAAATCGCCCTTCTCCTTCAGCTGAATTTCTCCATGTGTTCGTTTCTGTAAGGATTAAGGCTTGCATTTATTACAGATGTTGTGGCATCGAATCCTGGAAGTGCTACAGACTATGTCCACAATAGGCATTGGAGGACAACCAAATGTAACTCCGCCGCAAACAAGTTTAGAAGGGAAAACAAGCCCCGGAGGTCTGCGGATTTGTTCACTTTCAGTTTTTCATAAGAACACTTCTCGACTATGTAAACTACAAAAATGAATACCCTAAAGATAGGATAACGTTTCAAGCAACTGAAAGCCCCTTCCCAAAAAGACTGAAGAGAGAAAAGTACATGTTTGTTAATAGATGTAGGTGACCAACATATGGGCGGAAAATTATTTTATGGGGCTTGATCCTTCTCTCCTTTCAACTTCACGTTGGTCTTGGGGAAGATAATCAAGAAATCCCATCCTACTTCGAAATCCAATAACCTAGACTTTTTTCTTTAAGTTTCCAAGCTCAAATTGGAAGAGTGGGTACTACATTTCTGTCTTGATTTCCAGTGTCCACACGATGAGTGAAGCCTAGATAAGCTATAAGAGAAGCTGAGGTTGTGTAGTGGCAAGTGGCGGGCCACCACACACGCATGGTTACTGGTTCGAATCTCGGATCGATATCCGCCTGAGCTAACCAAGTATTCAGCCCTACGGGGTCGCATGATCGGTATCAGACTTATCTCAGGCACTGACTTGTACATCGGCTGGCCACCGTAACTCCTTGTATAGGCCACATACGCATTCATTACGGTACTACAATTGTCAACTGAAGTTGAACGGGGGTGGGAGGGCATACCAAATACGGACTGATCAACATCAAAGACTTTGTTTTTTCAACCCATTGTTTATGATAGACGTTTGATCTCATCTGCATTAGTATCTTGCTGAATACATGACATGATTATCGTTATTGCCTCCATACACTGACTGATTAGGAGCTGAGAATGAGTGCAATTCGGCGGGCAGGGGCTAGGAATGGGGGTATCTTATCATAATCTTTAAGGATAAATTGTTAGGGCTCCATTGCGCAATAACTGGATTGTATAAAAGAGCTTGTGATAAGGAAGGAACACCACAACATCGATGATTCTCGCTCTTCTTCTCTGTACAGGTAATTAGTCCACAGCGTTGACTGTCGTTAGAAAAACTATAAAACCTTTCTTCCGGTAATAGATAAGTTTTCGGCGTTCAGAGTACGATAGTTATTTTTAATCGAGTGTTAATTAGGTAAATGTTTCAGGTAATAGTAGTTGATATTCGTACATAATAGACATTCCAATATTGGTATCACTACCTTTTCGTTTCAGCTGGTGCATACGGTGTCTTACCGCGATCCCAGTGTCCAGCTGCTAGTAAATATGGTAAAGGACCGCCAGCTAGTTGCACTATGCCATCCGATCCCAACAATCTGCCACCATCTCAACTCGAGAAATGGTTCACAAAAGACATGTTTGAGGTAGTTCTATTTGCATACATACCAAACCTTCATAATTATGAGAAAACCAACTTAAGGATTTGTTCCCTTTCGCGAATCTTGGTTGGGGATCACATCCGTGCCTACCATACTCCTATGAAGCGTTCGTGATTGCTGCCAGATATTTTCCAAAATTCGGAACAAGCAGTCCTAATTCGGTAACGCTTTCTTTTTGTATAATAAATAAAATGAGTAAATCGTACAAATTTTGGATGGTTGGCCGAAGTGGGAATCACTGCAGCATCAAATAGTAGCTTTCGCATAACCTGACGTCCCTATGATAGTCAAGTTCTCCTCGCCCGAAGTATAGAGGGCTAACCATTTCTAATGTCCAGAGTTTTTTTTGGAGTAGTCCAATACAGTATTCGTTTTACGTCCTGAGTAAGCTGGCCAGTAACATCCTTAATCTACATTCAACAACAAATCGCATCACAACATCTTCGGCCCACCCCATCTTCGATCCCTCCCTCGGTAAAGGTGGTGAAGTGGTCATCATCCCTGGCTGCCATGTCTTCCTTTTACAAACAACACATTTAAGTAGTTCTTGAAGCTGGTGAAACAGTGTTGCTCTGGCATACTCCCTCTGCACGTAACGACGAATTTCAAGTGATTCTGTGGAATGGGCCTGAAGACCTTCTGGAACACTGTTCGCTGTCAAGGTTGTCCTCCACACAGTATCCTGTCAATCCTTTTAAAAGGGACTAATTCAAGGAGTTTATATATAGCCTGTAGAAAGCATGCAGATTGATTGACTCAAAGGCTCACCGCATATGTATATAGCAAGACAGTTAAGAAAAAAGCATTTGAATCAATAGTCTCGTGATATGACCTTTTTTTGCAGATTTACAACGCAACTGAAAACACCCGCAGAGATCTGGCTGCATTTTTCGCCCATGCGGTACAGGAGACCGGAGAAAACAATGCTGGACTTTACGAGTAAGCTTATTATGCAGTCTAGGTCACATTCGAAGACTCGAGCCACCCTTCGTGCTTATTTTTGGGGTCAGCCAAGTACACTTGATCCTCATTTGGGTGAAAGGCAAATGTTAGCACCGAGATGAAAGGTGTTCTACGAAAATCGGTGTTGCCGTAACAGCGTAAGAAATGCTTCTTTTCATACATAATTACAAATTTTGAAAAAAGAATTTACTGGACTTCCCTCTACTTTCTTCCTTTCTTGTTGCAGTTGTAATAGGACTTCTTTACTAACCATAAGACTGAGGAGAGCAAGCAGTTAATACATTAGCAAATTTACTTTTTTCATGTTAGAAAGTAATGATTACGAGCGCTACAGCTATAAACGGAGCTGAAAAGTCGTCTGAGCGTTTTGTTCTTTTCCTTCCTGGTGAATACCCCATCTTTTTAAACGATCGAGCAAAGCATTAATGGTCCATTCTAAACTTGACCAGGCCTACACCACCAGTGGAACTTCTTCCGCAATGCTTACGGAATAAACGCTCTTCCTAGCTGAAAAATCAGCGGAGCTGTCTCTGTAGTTCGGGGTTTCCTTTACTGAGATCAATTTCATCAAGTTACCCATTTTGAATCCTCCTTTTCCCACGGAACTCATTTACACCCAACACTGTTTGGAACTATGAAAATGAGTTACCGTTTCTCTCAAAATTCAATAATCGTGTAAGCTTCTACCGTCGATTCAAGTGACGAAAAAATTTGAAGAAAATTTTCATATTTTGAAAGGTTAACGAGTTTCTCTGATGCTTTGAATGCAATAACGAAAGAATTCGTTTTGCAAGAAGATAAGCACAGATTAGGTAAACATAAACACAAACAAACATGTCATTACTACTGAGATACCTTTCATGTTTTTGCTAGCTTTGCTGTCTTGAGAATTTTGTCACGTTCGGAATTCTAATGCCAAAGTCGACCTCTCTGTTTTTGTTAGGAAACGAACTGTTGCAAAATTTTCATGAGCGTTCTTCAGTGGAAAGCGCCCTCTAAAAGACGCGGCCGATTGCTTCTATCGTGGAGGATTCTATAATTGGTTCGAAGGCGGTCCCACCAGCTCGTTCATGGATCAGGGTTCACCAGGCTATAACCCTATAGATGGCGAGAAGTGCATTTCAGCAGGAAGGTATGGATGAAGTTTCTAGCAATTTTCTTGACGATTCTGGAAGCCTCTTGATTAAGGTACTGCGCTCAATCAGCTGAGATCAGCTATTTCTATCCATGTTCGAACGGCACGGATGGAGACTATTTCAAAGGATGTTACTTTGGCCGTGGGGCCATACAGGTACCGTGATTTTCGGGTAATCTGTATTTGATTGATATGAAGGGGCCATTTTCTCACAGAAGATTGTCTAAAAAAGCCTGCTCATTCACTCAGACCAATCGTTTTGTTTCTACGGTTGGGAACAATTTGGATTGCCTCTGACTCAAGCGTCACATGGGGGCAGACGTTTACTATTTTACAGATTTCTTACAACTACAATTATGGACAGTTTATGGATTTTTTGAAGACGAGAAATATTAGCGCCAACTTACTCGAAGAACCGAACCTAGTGAGTAGCAGTTTTAAACAAATTTGTTAATGCGAGGGGAAATAGAAGCTTACAGATTATGACCAAAATGGATCCACCTTTGGCAATTCTTGCCTCACTTTGGTTTTATATGACACCTCAGCCACCGAAACCAGCGATGCATGACATAGTGATGGGTGAGTATGAACTGATCTCCATGAAACAAAATCAAGTTATTACTTCGGTATGAATTTGGCAGTTTGATTACTTCCAAGTACTTGTGGGAGTGCAACGATGTCGGTGTTTTTGAAATTCTTGAAAAAAAAAACTCTCAACCATTCTACAAAATGGGCAAGTGACTCAGGAATGGAAAGGCAAAAACGTTCTATGGAGTTCTAGCAACAAAGGAGACTAGAAACGGAAGGATTCTGTCGAACAGATTGGTGCAGACATTCTTATCAATGAACTGCAGGGCAGGCTCTCCAGATTCCCAAACGTATCCAAGCTATGTGAAAGGGTGGCACACTAGACACACTAGCAAACCGAGTTTTTTGAGCTATCCGTGATTTATTCATGATCAGGCTCGATCTTGCCTCTCAACTTACCACTTTATGATGAAGATAGAATTCCGAATTTTACTTTGATCACAGTAGTTTCTTTGTTCTCTAATTTTGTGCAGGTGCTGATTTCTTTGCTCAGAAGTTTTGGTAAATAGCGGAGTTTTTCTGGAGAAAGCGGGTCTAGGTGGTGTAGTAGGTGAAGAGCAGAGTGTTCATAGGTTCGCGGCAGAGAATCATCAGAGATATAAAATTTCGCTCAAAAATTGCCTCTTTCTTCAAAACTCTCATTCGTTTCAGGAACATGGAACAGTGGTTCAAAAAACGCTGCTGCTGGCTATACGGGACCCATTTTCGGACCGACCAGTCTCATCATCAATAACGAATGCAACGGAGAGGATTTGCAAGAACCAGGAGGTAAGAAATTTACAAAGAAATACAAGAATATGGCAATGACCGTGCACGCGGGAGTGCTTTTTATTCGTCACGAATGATAACAGGATGAAATTCAAATATTACAATGTATGAAGGCAGAGTAAGTGACGCGGTCTGACAGAAACCCGAGCTCTTCAGATTAATTGTTTGGGAAATGCAGCGAGAACCCGGCCGACAAGGAGGCGTAGATGAGCAAAGAATATTTTGCTGGTTATGTGCAGCACTCTTGATGTATTCTTTGACTTCAATCTAATTTTCAGCAAACCCCTGTAGGAAAATGGGTAGAAGGTTTGAAGAGAATGTTGGACAAGCAAAAAGGGTGTGATGCTCGCGATACATAAAAAGCGTTGTTAACCGAGGACACTGCCTAACCGCTGATAGTGGGGTGGGAGGGAAAGGGAAATGTATGGGAAAGGGCACTGAAGTCAGCCACCTAATGTTCTACATACGGAGTGACCGACATGGAGTTTGACGCAGGAAACTAGCAATAAAATGATACAAATCAAACCAAATAGGAAACATTTACTTCTACGCAACCATCACAAAATCGTAAACAAGATATCGCATCTCGATTCAGAATGACCATCTTTCGCTTTATGATGAGCATCCGACATCTTCCGGAAGTTTCAAGAAAGCGCGCAATTACTTTCATCCCACGCTTCTACAAGAGAGCTTTTCCAGAGAGTCTAAAGACCTGTGTTTGAAAGCCCAGGCTCTTTGCTCGAGAATCGTCCATACAACAAAATCCACAGGACTGAGATCCGGAAATTTGAAGATCAAACTTGCATTGTCCAAAAAGCCGGAAGCGTGCTTTCACAACAGTGCAACGTCTTCCTTGCACTGTGGGCTGGTGCGAAATCCTGCTGAAAAGTTCAGCTGAGGTTCATCGCGTTCTTTCCCGCCCAAAGGATCGCCGCATTCTCCAGCCTAGAAGCCCATAAGTCGATTTTTTTTNTTTTTTTTATTGCTCGTCACACTCCATGAGGGTCACCTTGTATTGAGATTGAGCTGTGAATCTGCTAATTTGCAATCCTTCTTCAGTGGTTTCTTACACTCCGTAGAGCGTGGGGTTACTCTATCAAATCGTTTTCTATGAATACGGATGAAACTTTTTATAATTGAAGGTCCAGGAGAATCACGACGTATAAAAGCTTTCAAATGGTTCTGTACATATTTTGGCGTGCCAGCGGGAGCAGATAAATTGCTCAGTTGTAAAGGTACGTACATGGATTGACCTATTTTCTGTAGTCCGAGAAACAATCTTTGCCAAATATTCCTGCCAAACTTCAGATATGCCAGTGAAACTGGATGAACTACGTTATAACTACAGCTATCAGCCAGATTGGGCCACTACGTGGATGGAGCGACCATGCAATTGTGCGCCCGCAGCGTACGGAGGTGAAAACGAGAAACTGCCAAAGAGATTCTGGCTAGGTGAAGTATAATATATAAAACAACTCGAATCTCGTTGTTTCCAGGATTGATACCGTACTTCGACGCTGCGTATTATCCTGAAGAATTCGTGGCAATGAACGAGAAAAATCGGCTGAGATGTGTGGCCAGCGTTTATGCAAATCCGTCCATGTACAGTTTAAACAGCAATACCTCTCCTTGTCTCAATCACTGACGACGGCAACGTTTGGAATTCTCTTTCAACGAGTAAATGCCTTCCTCTTTGACAAAACGCTTACTGCTCAGAATTTCCTCAACATTCGTTCATCTTGATTAACACATTTCTCAGTGGCTTATGAGTTTTTATCCGATTTTGGCTAAAACCTTCTCATAGAGATCGGATTAACTCTCAATGGGAAAGTCCTGCCTGCTGCTATTCGATGCTGTGTATGTAAATAAACGTCCCTTCTTGTTATACTCAGATAAATAACTTCTTCGTTCAGCGTTCGTATTATATGCGATTTTTAGAACGCCCTGCTCTTGATAACTGGCTGAGTCTGTAGAAAGTTTGTTTTCTGTAGAAAACAGTTTTTTAACAAACAACGTTAGAGCTCCTGAAACTTTGATATGGCTTCACCAATGAATAAATGATTAAGTCCTGATTAACAGGCTGAGCATCCTTTCATGCAATTCCCGCCAGCCGTGAGTGTAATCCACCTCAAGTTATGTCTTTAAGTAACTTGTCCCATTCCCTACATACTCCAACATCGCGCATCTCCGATCGTCGTGGATGAGGTTTAGTCTTGCTATATACAGTCATTGAAGCATGTTGACGGTTATACTACTAGCGAGTTTGACATTGTAAATGTAAGGAAACCTCTTTTACGCATGCTCCCGCTGCTGAGGGGGAGTCCAGACGTGTGACCAACAATCAACGTTTCAATCCTACGCCTACATCGAAAACTGTTGAGGTTGCAAAGCAAAGCGCAAAAATCGCAGTCATCCGAATTGGGCCGCTCATGAGGTCAAGTAATGGAACAGCACATGGAGTGTTACTGACGAGTTCGGGTGAACCGCATTCACGCAACGCATAATACGCAACGTTCGGTTCGCCGAGAGTGAACGCTTTCAGTCTACTCCAGCTTTGCTGTGATGGCTTCATTTTCACGCTGGGCTGTCAGGGTTAATGCATGCCAGTTCGCATTACTAGTTCTACACATCAATTACACATTCCTTATCACTTTGAAATGCTTCAACAACCGCAATATGCACCTGTCACACAAGTACACCCACTCCATCAATGACATCCATATCTTCTTCTTGATCTTGATAATCTATTCATTATTTCTTACCCTCTTCAACCGCTGAAGAGATTAGGTCCATCTACAAGTCTTCAAAAATTCCTTCGTTCTTACCTAATGGAAACCATGAGAATGTTTGCTGAAGGACTATGACTTCTACAGCTGATTGACACATTTCTACTGTTGACCCCGATACAATGAAGGAACAAGCTTTATTGTGACGACTTTACAACACGAATGCACGATGGCTACTGACAGCAGTAGGCGTAGAATGCTCCACGACGACATTCGGCTCCCTTCGGGCAGAACTGATGCTGGCAAGATTTCCCAAGTAGGATAAACTGAATCTTTTGATTTATCCAATTATAGTGGCTAAAAGATGGATCTCAAATGTGTTGATATTTCCAGTTACTTTGATATATATCGTTAGCCATTTCTCCATTAACTGATAGATGTTTTCTCGATAAAGGATCTTCAGCATTTTGCCAGCGAGGTAGTAGTTAAATCAAAAGTTAACCGCACTTCAAAGGCCAGCGGTACCTCAACAATAACGCAGGTGGATTGAAGCAAAGGACTTGCTGTTTCTGCTGTTTTAGGTCGATTTTTACCTTTTTTACTTATGAGCATATATATATGCGTGACAGGGACTTGACTACTCCAAACGCGTTTCGGGGTCGTTTCTAACGAACAAGTCCCTTGTCATCCCTGGCTATGCCCAGAGCCTATCCAGTACCCGAGTCAGAGTCAGAAAGCTACTCGTGAGTACCCGTTGCCGAAAACAGCAACATGAGTGGGCCTAAATTCCTCTGAACTTGAGAGAGCCTCACTTCGGTAGTGCTGGGTAGGACCGCTCGGGTGAATCTCAAAGGCTTGACAGACTGTCTAAAAAAAGTATGAATTTCGACTCGGTGGCTTCTTCTTGTCACCCACTAATGGTAAGAACCTACACCGTCAAGAAACTCGTCACATCTTCACCAAAAAGTCAAGGCGCCAGTGCTAAGTGTAACACCGTGAAGAATAAAGAATCAGACACATTTACTTCTCTGCGGCACTTATCAGCCCTTATCATGGGTTGGCAGACTTTCATAGCAAGATCTCATCGCACTTCATATCAACCACAGAGGTTCCGCCATTAACAAAGGTGCTGGCTTCACGGCTTTAACGGCCCTTATCAAGTACCATCAGTCCTTGTCATCAACCATCTTTTTGTCTAACATCATCTACAAGAATGCCTATCTTCCGTTATTAACCCGAATTCGAGAGCGTGACGAACTCAGCGACTCTCGTATTCTGTGCTTCCCATTAAACGTTGTCGGTTGTTACCAGCCCGTACCACCAGATATCAACGGTCTTTCACACCACATATCACCAACCACGTTGTCAAGATTCCGCTGTAGACGAAAAGGAGGTAATTTACTGTGCGGCTTTCAATTCCTTGTAAACTGTAACTGTAAACTGGTAGGGGCTTCTTGTCAGCCCCTACCAGTTTACCTGCTACTAATCATCTACAAAAACTTTACAGCCCACATCACCTAAAGAAGTGTCAGAGTTCTACATCAATACGAAGGGCGTGACGGACACTCCTACTCTCGCTTCCAACATAAGGCTCCATCTAGGTTCCTATCAATTGCTACCACTACCATTAGCGCTTCTATTCCGCTGCTTTTACCTTCTTCCAGATTTGAAGGATTTAGGTCCGCGGGTAGGAACTATGAATTTCAGCAAAACACATACCGATACATACACACACTAGCACGTCCACATATACAACCCATTAAACACACATGACAAATAATATGAAGTAGGATGGTAGGTTTCAATGCAGAAAGAAACCTCACTTTGAGCCCACCATGTTCCTCCTTTACGACTTTTCTGTCACCGCAGTCTGGATGAATATTCTCGTTATACTTTTCTGAAAAAAAAAACCCGCTCTTCACTCAAAGGGACATAGGTCCTATTAACTGCATTGCTACTTACCTAAAACGTTGTTATCGCAACATATGCCTGTTTTCCATCCGATTTGGCAGCTCGAACCTTTTGGACACTCATTGTTTCTCTTAAAGCAACTAGCAGTACCATCGGGTCTGCGGACTGGAGGCGAATTTGCTGGGCATTTGATATGGTCCACTTAACATGAAAGGCATTTTCATCAATTTAAGAAAACGTCTCAGTGTTTTGGAGAAACGAAGTTCCGTTCTGCTCACTGTATGTACACCTGTGTCTGCAGTCTGACTCGGTATAGAAATTGTTCGGGTTTCCACCACATCCTGTGTATTTGAATGGTAAACAAGTCATTGTTTCCGCGTCGAAATGATACTAAAAAAGGGAACTGCAAGAACTTAGTGTGAAAATTTGAAAAGGGAAGGGGTTGCGTAGTTATATGGCCAAAACAACCCCCTATATGCCTCATTCGACTGCGTCCAACGAAAGTACTCCAGTTAATTCCGTGACGGCATCTAAGCATTACGAGTGCTGCGAGGAAAACCTGCCGAAGAATTCATCATTCCCATATTTGTCGACAATTTTGAGATGGGACTGATGATAGACTTTGTGAAGATGTGGGGCAAGACTGAACGGAGCATCAACATACGTGGTGCAGCTTGTGATCACTGCGTTACTTTCTCATTATGAATCACCTCAATCATGGATGTTGAAAGAAACGATTTTGTTTACTTACTCTAATAGCTGCATCTCGACCACAAATTTTGTCTCCCATGTCAACACTGTAGTTGCAAGGATTCCTTCGTGCTAACCCTAAACATTCCTTTATTCGAAGAACAGTTATTCTCGACACTGATAATAATGTTGAAGTGAAAAAACAAGCATCTGCTGAAGAAGATCGAGTGGTTCACAACTTTGAAAAGAGCTCAAACTTACTATTATCAAATCCATATGGTTCTTTGTACAGATATTTATCCGGTTTTTCGTGTTGCACATATCCTTTGCCCCTTCGCCATGCTGCATCAACGAGCTCCAAATCATGGTCTTCATAGGATTCATAGGAGAAAGGAGAATCACCTGGCAAGAACACGGTTTCCGACTGTGTCGTTGATAGAACTTTATTAATTCTCCAAGGGTGTTTGTTTGACTGAGGTTTTGTTGACTGCAGTGAATACGCCCATTATGCGTTTCAAAAGTCTCACATGTTGGCGATTTATGGACAAAACTCCAGTCCCGTCCAAAACTGAAGTTCTGTCCACAAATCGCGATCCATGTATCTGTTGATTTGCAATTGTGTCTGTTTGTATGTATGTGGGTGTTTGACCGGAAAATTACAACTTTTGTCCCCCTGCAGCAAATAAACTCAGAAGGTATACAGATGGCATAGTGGGATTGGTGATGACAGGTGGAGGAAAGTCGTAACAACCGATGACCGGAAAGGAGGTCTGGAAGGCAAGAGCGACACGATCCATCACGCCTTCGTTCTGCCAGCGTAATTCTATAATTTTCGTAGGTAAAGGGAATTTATGATGTTGGTAGCACAAAGTGATAGCAACTGATAAGAAATGATGCGAGGTCTCAGGAGGCAAGAGCCACTAGAATGGTCACGATTTTCGCATCAACCTTGCAGCCATAACATCTTTTTTTGGTGATGTGGGAAGTTACGAGATTGTGGCTGGTTGACGGTAGTAAAAGATAGTAACTAAAAGAGATATGGTTTGATGATGCCTGATGCCAACTGCTGCTAATGTGAAAGTGTACCCACTCTGCCTGTTCTCTTTTCTGAAAATTTGATCGCTTTGTTGTTGAAAACTCTAAACAGCGTCATCTTGCGACAAAAAGTAAGAAGCTAGGCTTCTAGTCAATAACGTCACGAAATGATCACGATACTCACTGCGCCCATGTGATTTCTCGCACTCCTCATTATATCTGAGTTTCTGTTGGAATGACACAAAATGAAACAAAGCGACATGCCAACGGGCCCACAAAGTTAGTGCTTTATATATGTATGTATACATAGATGGATAAAGACCAAGTGATGAATCCCAAGTCATAATACACTGGTGTGCAAAACCTAGGGGTGAGATGGAGAAAGTATCAAAGCATACGTGTGGGTGGAAATGAAGATGCTAAATGTTCAATGCTTACGCACGGAGCTGAACATCTCTCCGAAGAAGAGAATCTTGAACAAGTCACAAAATATGGCTGCCCGCACAAATCGAGCCAATTGATGGGTATGGAGAAAAGTTTTTATCAATCAACAAGTAGCTGTGTTACCCTTAAATACAACATTTCCCGCCTCAACAGACGAGGAAAGACCACCGTGAAACTAGGAGGACTAATTATGACTTGTGTAGCCCAGGTGCTCGGTATCGCCCAGGGCGTTATGTCTGGAGAGCGTCCCAAGCCTCTCGTACTGCTGCTTGAAGAAGAGGGGAGAAGACATTCACAATTTGTGGGACTGCAATGACATAAGGCAGGACTTCAGAGAGAGATATCTCAGTCCACAGTGGCTGGACGACTGCACTGTGGCGGTCTCTTTGCCCTACGTTCAGATGTGAATGGACCGATGAGGAGTAGAGTGCGTAGCGAATGGATAGGTGAGGAATGGAGCCTGCTTACATCGGATGAGAGCAGACTCAGTCTTAGCGGTGATTCTGGATAAATCCTCATAAGGTGGGAGGGGGAGAACGCAGCTCTCGCAAGAATATTGTCGAACATGATCGTTATAGTTGCTGAGGTGTTATGGTATTCAGATACATCATATACCATGGCCATACCAACCCCCAAATTTTTGAGCGTGAAACTCTTGCCGAGCGCCGTTACTGTTATGAGATACTCTTTCCTTATGTGCCTTTCCATAAGCCGTGTCCTGTGCCTGTGTCCTTCCGCCTTGGATTCGTTGATGTGGATGCCATCATCGACTGCATCAAACACATCAGGCGATGAGGTTTTGAAAGGACAGGATATCCGGATTCACCTGCTCGTTCCTCCAACCCAAAATCCGAAGCATCTGCCCAGTGCATCACCCACTTGGGTCGAGGTGTTATGGTATGGAGCACATGATGTCTCCCCAAACCATAACACCTCGCTGACGTGTGCGATGCACTGGGAAGACGCATTGCAGCATTTTCAAACGCGTCAATGACCATCCAGCGATCGCTAGATGCGTTTTTATAGGAGTGGGACCAGCTGTCACGGGAATTCATTACCAAGATCGCTGAGAGTACGGAAGATCGTTGCAGAGTATGTAGTGCTGTTCGTGGTGATCGCACACCCTATAAGGGACCGCGCCACTTGTTTGAAAGTACCAGGATAAATTGTGAAGATTCTCTCTGTGCAACACCGTAATATCCCTCTGATAGTGTGAAACCAACAGCTTATCCGGCAAAGGTACAGGGTGTCCCAAAATTATTTGCGCCGATTTATAGCAATATATTTGAAACTTCTCAACTGCGAAAGACGGTGGAATTTCTATACACGCTAGCTAACACTATGTGCTACAGCATGCTAAAGTCGCATCTCAAAATATCCCCCGTGGTCGCGAATAGAAGTCAAAGTTTGCTTTCGACTTGATCGCCTGTGACACGCAGGTAACCCTCTCCATTTCTTTCCAGCCGTCCTCCAGCTTTTGCATTCTAGGAATCCAAACTGGGACTGCAAACTCGACAGGTCTTCTTCTAATCAGGGATCATTCGTGGGATTTAAGTGAGTCAAGTTCTGGAAAACAGGATGACCATTTATCTTCACTGATGAAGTCGGGCAGCTGTCGCCGGTACCACTCGCGGGCAAGCTTGGCTCTGTGGGCTTGAGTAGCGTCCTGCTGGAAGGACTATGAGATGTTTCATAAAACGTAGTCGGATCAATGGTCTTATTTACTTCCATTAGTACGCCGTTTGAGTACTAGTCTCGGTCAATTTCCACGCCTGCACCGAAGAAACCACGAGCGGCTTACCCTTGCCAGTGATTTCCTCAAAAAACATCATCTTACTGTTCTGATAACAACCTTTTTTGAGATATTACACGCTGGATGTTTTTTCCCGGAACGCGAACGTTTTGATTGTTGAGGGATGGTTTTATCGTAAAAAATTTTTTGATAAGAGAAAACGACGAAGGGTTGCGTGTCATCACTCAATTGGGTCTGCGACTTTCTGCATTTTTTGGCCCTGCAGAATCTATTGAGATCGGGATTGGAGCATACGATAGGAATGGTAGTGAGGCTTCTGCATGACATTCTTCCATGGCGATAACTTCTGTAGGTCGTGCCCGTTGACTTCCTTTTGATGGGTCACCCAGGATCCCGACCGATTGGCATACGGACCATTTTAATAGCCCTTTCTTCAGAAGCATTCTACCTTTCTATCTTTCCTGGTTTGTCTCTGATTCAATCTTTTTTCTATATCGTTTAATAGCCTCCTATACTTTTATTAGAAAAATCCCAAAGAATTTCGTAACGCCCTTCCACTTCTCGCGCGTCAATGATTGCAAGTGGCATTGAATGAGCCTCCTCCATCTGAAAGGTAATGGGAGTTCCACATCAGCAACCATGCATATTGCAAGGAAACCTTCTTATGCAACTAATCAATAATAGGTAATGTGAATTTGATAGATTATTTCTTCCTTAAAAATTACTGAACTTTGGCGCAAATAATTTTGGGAAACCCTGTACATCAATCAATCAAAACTTATTTCTGTTTTTATGTTGTGCACGCCAACATGGTAGTCGGATAATTTTGGTCGCAGCTGATGCCGGCATGACTCTCTACATTGCTCTAAATCTGTACAGGCTGCGACGCTGATCTGATGGCAAGGGCCGAACCAAATTCCGATACGGCACCACACTATGAATTTTTAACTCTGCTACCTTACGTTTGAGACACTGTTCCACTAGATTACGATGAAGAATTAGATTCTAATGCATGTTTGGATCAAAAGCATCACCTCGAGGCGTGCAATCAAAGTCATCAACGCCATAAATCACTAGATAGTGCCTGTGGCTTTTTCCAAGCCTCCCCCCTCCCCCTCACGCTTCCTATGAAAGTTAGGATGCAAGCTTGATTCCGATCATCGATTATTAAGGAATTTTATGAATATAGTGTAGTCGTAGTTGCACTAGGTAAAGAAATGATTGTTCTGAGTTTGCTGATCATTCCGATCCTCTCAGAGTAAGAAGGAAGTGCTACGATCCATAGATCACAAGTAAAAGGATAGGCAGAACCACTCCCAACCTTATCATGGCAACGATCTCATACCAATATCTCGTCGTCTCATCGTCTGAGACACTTCCTAACTTATCCCATACCCCCAGTTGCTGCAGGGCAAGGGTTGACCACCGACCTGAGTGGTCACAATTTCTCCCGCTGACGGCGCGGGGGGAATACGTAGGTTTTAGAACGTGCTGAAGCGTTTTCACTTATTCTGCATTTTCAACGCGGTAATATCCGCATTTACTATTGAGGCGTTGAATCTTTACTACGTTATCACCGGAATCGCAAAATCCACTAAACCATCGCACAACCATGGCACTTTCACGGCAAAAAGCTATGAATGCCAACTCATTGTAGAACGGGCATTCTTTTACGGCGCTAAATTTTCTACAAAAGTTGTGCGTTGTGGGGAAATTGCACCTACTTAGCCATGCAGTACATTGCAGTACCCTAACAGTATTGCCCCCTAACTTCGCCGATGTACCAAAGCGCTCTTGCTGGCACATGAACTGTCACGCCTTGCTTTAAACTTCACAAAAAATGGTAAAAAGATGAAAACTTTCGACAAGAAAGTATAGAAGAGATTGTCAAATCAAAGAAAGAGATGCAGGTTACGTTGTTATACTGTCGACCCACAACACACTGCCTTTGTTTTCGGATTTGATTCAATTCGATAATGCTCTAAGACCTATTTTGAACGTATATAATCACAAACCCCTTTCAGGAAGACAACTGAGACTGTTGAATACGAAATCCTCGTTCCATGCGTCCCGTGCTGTCCACCTGAATGTTCGATTTCAAAATTAGTTTCAGAAGGTCAGCATTCTAGGACAGCCTGAAAAGAGAGTTTTATAAAACTCAAGTGAGAAACTGACTTGAAATGAAAGTCAATCATGAAAACCTCATGCAAATGAAAGCTGCATGAAGACGTGACGCAATTTAAGGACATGATGGAGTTAAACGATGAGGAAAATGAGCTACATCTACTTTTCGAAACCACATCAAATTTTAAGAGATCTCATCATACACCTTGAATTTGAGCCACTTCAACCGATAAGTCATTCCAGCAAAGATCGTAACGGTTATGTTCAGCTGCTAGTTGGGGAAGCTCGTTACGATAGGCGAAGTTTCGAATTGGTTATCGATGCTCATTGGTGACCATTTTCAGAAGCTTTCTTAGTTCAAATACTTCTAATCCCAAAAAAATTCCTTTGTCCCGCTGCCTCTCCTGAGGGACGCCCTCGAAACAATAGGAAAGCGCAGAGCAGATTCTAGGCATACGTTCAGTCTGAAATCTTCCGAACAGTAGACTGCCTCATTGGGAAGCGCAGAGATCTTTCAGGGTCCTTGCTTATTAATGCGGTATCCGTGCGAAAGTGACATGGGATAGAAAGTAACATCAAGATTGAATCCCGTCTACTGTTTCATCATGTCTTGCTCAGGTGGGCTATTAGGCATACCAACTGAGGCGATACAGCATACACTTACAACCGTTTGATACATTGCGTCCAAAATGGTGGGGTAGGCAGATGATTGCGACCCTTACAGTTTCTCAGTGTTTCTCAAGTTGAACGATAATTTCGGAAGAACCTACATATTATCACCACAATCAAAGAAACTGATGAGTTTGAACTCACATTCCATTTTCGCAACGAGCATACAATGTGCGTCTTCGCCCCACTGTCATTTCATGTCCATGTTCGCTCTCCATTCTAACATCGGCTGAAGATTCACATTCGGCTTCGGCATGCAGACATCTAGCGGCGATATATCTAAATCAGCGAGGTTGATTAGATCAAATAACGAAACACCAATCGAACCCAGTTCATTCTTTGCGTAATCGGCAGTAGCCGGTCACTTTTAGTCTGATTGATCCGGTGCAGACTAGGTTTTACTCTTAACACACTACTCCAGCTCATTGTCAAGAGGAATCGGACCCCGTTCATCCTTTTCCTAATCGGCAGTACCCGGTCACTTTTAGTCTGATTGATTCAGCGCAGATCAGGTTTTGCTCTTAACACACTACTCCAGCTCATTGTCAAGAGGAACGTTCTTTTTTCGAGCAACGCATTCTTCTTGTACACCCAACGTATCATACAATGATTTTTCTACAACGCGCTATCACTCCTAATCGCTTGAAAATATAATACTTCTCATTAAGAAGGTGACTGAAGACGTTGACAAATAGGCACAGCAACCCTGTTCAATTCACTAGAATAAGAAGCAGTAGGGGATAGCTACGTGGAAGGTTGAAAGAGAAACAGTAGCTTTTGTTGGCGAAGCTTCGCCTTGCCAGTGCTTCATAACATCAAAGCTAAGATTTCCATCAAAGGGTGAAGCTGGCTAACGGAAATCTTAACTTCATTTGTGGTGCCATGCAGGGATGTCGTGGAAAGGAGGAGAAACTGAGACTGCAGGGACAAATTGACCCTAAAAAATCTGCTGTACTCTAGTCGATCACCCAGCCGATATCTCTAGGTATCCATCATTCCTCAAAATCCCAATATCTGATGGTCGAATGGATTGCAATGCCGTCGGTATCCAAATGGAGCGAGCGTGATCCTTCAGCAGGTCTTTAGTACGCAAGCAGTTTTTGTTGCTGTGTATTCGTAAAAACTCTTGGTAAAGGATTCTTGGTGCTTCCGTATTGGTAGTAGGTCGGTTTCTTCAACCTCTCTAGCCACCTTCCTACCCGGAGCTCAGTATCGTCTACCAGAAGTGATTGGGCCCCGCGGCAGACTATCGCCCAATCTCATGGCTACCCGTATTGGACGTCTCTACTTTGAAACAATAAACAGCCGATATATTTCAACAGCAGCACGCCAAATCTAACCCGACAACGCTATGGAGAAGATCAAGTGCAATATACTCGGAGGTGACAGCAGCCAGGATATCACATAGCTATAAATTACCGTCAGGTATGATTCTATTCCACTCGGTACCGAAACTGCCCGCCGTGGTCTAACGTTCGTTGTAAGACCGTCGCTCAAAGTATTTGTAATCGTCTGTCATGTGCCGGCATCGTCCAGGGATAAAAACGATGAGTATGAAAATTCTCTAGAGGAAGTAGAGCACACATGTAGGCGAATTCAAAAAGGAAATACTCCTATTCCTCTGGGAGGCATGAATGCAAAAGTGGGAAGGGAAGTAGGAAACGAACAAATAATCGGCAAGCACACTCCTGACACACTGAATGGGCGCGAACACATACTTACAGATATTTTCAACCTAATTAGGATTACGTGCATGGAACACATTTTTTCCTTGAGAGAAGGGACGATTGTGGACTTGGAGATGTCCTAATGGAATGGTGCGCAACCAGATAGACTTCATTTGCTCTCCTCCATTCACAACCGTTCTCGACTGCTGAGTCATAAACAATATTTGTTCCTTTCTGATTATCGTCTGGTAAAAATGCAAATGGCTGTTCGCAATAATGTCCTACCACCGTACGTACCTCAACTCTGCCACATCCCTCTCCTCTAACCCGGCTTCACTTATACCGTGAGTTGTATAAAGTTCGATCCAGTCTCTTCCCTAATCAGCATTGTCCTCAAAATGCACATGAAGCCTACGAAATTATTCGAATATTTGTAGAGAATGCCGCAGATGGATGCTAGTCCACCCAAACAGACCCCCAAGAATTAAGCTCGGAACTGAAACTCTCCTATTTGAGCGAATAACTCTTCGAAGTAACTCATCTTCACTCGGTCGCATCGCGTACTCCACCATTTGCAAAGCAGCTAGAAACGTCCTTTTGGAGGATATTTGTCAGCGAAAAACCGTAATCTTTTCAAAAAAAAACTACTTGTCGTCGTCCTGAGCGGTCGGTATTCTCTGCGCTCTATATCGATATTCGTATTGATTTGTTATCTTTATATATTATCATACTTTCTATAGCTACGTGGTATTCATATAACCATTCATCGTATTATATAACTTGAATCGAGGACGTGAAGCCTTCAAAGCTGGTAATAGCAGATAAGTTTGGTCGTTTTGTTTTCGTTACCGATTAGTGGTCATTTGAGCAATGTCAAAGAATCGAACTCGCGCAGGTCAAAATGTTGGCAGCAGTGTCAAAAACACTGCCTGCAATAGTTCAGTAGACATCGGGCCATCCGATTCTGACATAGCTTCCATGTCCATAAGTCAAATCGTTAGTGCGATGATAGAGAGAAATGAAGAGCTCAAAGATCCGGTCATGGGCGAGTACGCTCTATTGTCGCAACTGCCGCAAACAATTGCCGATGCCGTGGAGGCGGGCAAACGAGGTCGAAGTTTGGTCATCTTCGGCATTCCAGAGTCCGCGTCCGACGTTTCGGCTTCACGCAGGCAAAAAGAGATTGAAGATAAAGTAACTGAAGTGTTGGATGTACTTGGAGTTGAGTGCAGGCCCGTGGAGGTATACCGTATGGGGAGACCTGGTGGCTCTCGCTCACGGTTGATCAAGCTGGTTTTACCTTTTAAAAGTCACTGGGCCAGTGCTCTCTCTAATAGTTATCGCCTGCGCAATTCCGAGTTATCTAATGTATATATATATACGAAAGAGCTTAACTCCGGATGAGCGCGAACATGAGTTCCGATTTCGGCAGGAGTGTAGAGAGCGAAATAGACAGCTGAATAGGAGGGTATGGGTGGTGGCGAGTTAAGACGTGCCGATGGACTCTCTAAATCGAGAACGTCGGGAAACGTCTGATTCGGCATGGCACCCCCTCCGGGTTAAAATGTTTTCTTTTTGACTCCAGAAGTTTTTTTGATAAACTACACCACCTCCACTTATTTTTAGATACAAACAACCCTGACCTGGTTTTCATTACTGAGACCTGGTTGTCTTCCAAAATATCTGATGCAGGAATTGTTTGTGGCCGCCCTTATAACGTTTACAGAGTTGACCGTAGAGGACGCAGAGGTGGTGGAGTGTGCTGTCTTGCCAATGAAAACATTGGTTTGGTAGCTGTCTCCACTCCTTGCCTCATGTCGGAACTCCTTGCTTAGTACGATTAGATGCAGCATCCGCACTGATGTTTAGAGTGATTTTAGTATATCGCCCGCCCAACTGTAGTTCGGAAGAAGATGACGAATTGATTGACTTTTGATAGAGCTTTTCCTTTCAGATAAGCGTCTGATTGTGCTCGGAAATTTAAATCTTGATATAGACTGGCTTTCTGAAAAATCTAGGAATCTTGAATCCTCGAAATTTCTTGAACTGTTCAAATGTAGTGAGTTGGTACAGTATGTCAGCATTCCTACACGTGGTTACTCGATTCTTGATCTGGTATTGGCGAATACTCCAATAATAGACAATCTATATGTGCTGCCACCAATAGCGGCTTCTGACCACTCCGTTGTTGCTTTCAATATTTGCTTTTCGGTTAAGACGTACGAACCGCTTCCATTGCCAAATTTTGCAAAAGCTGATTTCAATTCACTTTCGCAATATTTTTTCTCAATTGATTGGTGGGAAGCTTTTGATGGATACGCTTCCGTCGATGATCTTTGCAAATGCTTCCGTCGTATTTTGTATACAGAATTTGCTTCGTATTTACCGTTTTCAACCTGAGCACACCCAGAATACATTATCCAAGGCATATAAGCAATTTGATGGCTCAGAAGGCGCAACTCTTCAGTGCTATACAGGCTTCCCCTTCGACGTGCTTGCGTTACAGGAGAATCTGTATTGAACTGGACCGCCATCTAGAGGGATTTCTAGCAACTAGGAAAAGGATAAACTTAACTAATAAACACGAGGGAACCTTTTTCTCCATTTTCAAGTACCGAATGAGGCCGAAAGCAAGAATCCCAGTTCTCCGTGACTATACTGGTGGACATATAACTGATAATCAAAAAGCTGAGGCTCTTGCAACATTTTTCAAGTCGGTCTGTAACACTCAGACGGGGAATGATTGTGTAGAGGATTTTGAGCATACTCTTCTTAGCCCTTTCTCGCAGGTTACTATAACCACCCAAGAAGTGAATAAGGCTTCAAAGTCCCTGAAAATCTCAACGTCACTGCCATTCGATGGCATTCCCTGAATTGTTTATCGCAAGTGTGCCGCATCTTTGTGCAAACCACTATGCATGGTAATGAATGCTTCGCTAATGTTTGGCGATGTTCCTGACGCATGGAAAGAGTCTATCATTACGGCCATTCCTAAGGTTCCCAATCCAGACTTTGTCTCTTCCTTCCGGCCTATAAGTATAACTTCCTCGGCAGCTATGTGTTTGGAGAAACCTATACGTAATAAACTCTTCCAATATCTCGAGAGAAACAAGTTGATCCCAATCGAACAACATGGTTTTGTCATGGGGGCATCTACTTGTACCCAGATGGCAGCCTGTATTTTTGATTGGAGTATGGCTATAAACAAAGGTAACGGTATAGACATAATTTACTTCGATTTATCGAAAGCCTTTGATAAAGTAAATCACGCGAAGCTTTTCTCCAAACTACGCTACCTTGGTGTCTGCGGGCCCATCCTTAACTGGATCTGGTGCTACCTTAGCGAAAGACATATGTGCGTGAGAGTTGGTATCTCTTTTTCGAAGAGTTACCTATGTACAAGTGGCGTCCCACAAGGAGGAGTTTTGTCTCCTTTATTATTCTTGGCCTATACTCATGACTCACCTACTCGTCTTGCAGTACATCCCTCTGTAAAAGTCTACATGTACGCTGACGATATAAAGGTGTGTGGAGTCTATTCTGAAGAAACTCATGATTGTGTGCATCAAGCTCTAACTCAGTCCATCGACAAGATGATGGAGTGCGCTGCAGCTTGGGATATACCACTTAATCTCGAGAAGACATCGGTGCTTCATCTTAGAAAAGCCGTAAGAGCTCCGTATGTTTTCCGAGACATTACATTGAAAACGTTGGATGAAGTGAGCGATCTTGGAATTTGCGTGAATACAAAACTGGATTTTGAGTGCCACATAACCACCATTGTTCGGAAAGCTTTCCGCACTCTTTTTGCAATTTTTAGAAATATTAGGTCCAATGATCCAAAAACATTTTTGAGACTCTAAGGCCTATGTCATACCCATACTGGAATATGGGTCGCAGATCTAGAGTCCGCATACGAAGAAACTTCAAGGAAAAATTGAAAAAGTTCAGCAGACCTCCACGAGGGAGACTGTGTAGATGTGATAGGGATTCAACTTACTATAGGATTATACCAGACTACAAGGCGCGCTTACGTTACTTGAACCTCAAGACGCTTCTATACCGGCGTGTTTTCAGTGACGTAGTCTTTTTTTTAAATGCTCCGTGGAGAACGGAAGCTGAAACGAAGCCAGTATTGGGTGTTTAGACCTTGTAGAGGACGCATCTTCTCGCTCTCTCTACAATGTCCCAAACTCGCAAAGCTGCAGCTTGTGAAAATTCAAAACTCTCTCTTCCTCCGCGGGGCAAAGTGGATTCAAGCGTTGCCTCGTGAATTACAAATGGCTCCAAGTGTTAGCATTTTTGAAAGTGGACTGAGGAAAATGGACTTGCTATGTCTTCTCGGAATTCGCGATTTCCAGTAATAGTTTGATTTTTCAGTCCTTTTTTTCCAGTGCAGTTCTTCAATGTCGGGATAGGGCATCGTTGACTAAACCAGAGATGGCCGCTGTTTCCACCTCTCAGTTCTTATTTTATTTTATTTTGTTTTTTAAAGGTGTTTTTGACTTTCTATTTGATTCTCTGTGTTTCTTTTCAAGTTGGATAACTTTCTTAAGCAGAACCATAGTGATGAAGCACTATACCGGACTGCATAGTTTGAAGCGCCCCATGTTTTCGAATATACTTCAGTGGCGGGTCGAAAATCTCAATTGGCATTTATTCGGGTGAAGTACTATAGTGCGTTTCAAAAGTATGTGCACACCCAACATTTTGTTTTTTTGGGACACCATTGCTTTCTGTAACCTGTGACCTTCACAATTCAATTCCATGTGTACGATAACCTACGAACACTTTCTCTAAGAAAACATCGTAGCTGCTAACACAATTTTTTATTAAAGAAAAAATTTTCCTTTGTTTCAAAAGTGTGTGCACACTTAGCAAAAAACAAAAACATTTACCGAGATCAGAAATCATTTGGGCCCACTCAATTTCTGTAAAGGTTATCGACTACGGGGAATCGTTTGAGAATGGTTTCGTTACGGTGGGATCTTTAGTTAAATTCAAAATGAAAAATTTTGAGTGTGCACATACTTTCGGAACGGCAACTGGGCCGCTCTTTTTCATGCATTGCTAGATTCATTCGAGACCCTGGCAGCTATCGCTCACGACCTATTCCTGGCCGTACACGTATTTTGACTGCTCAGAACAACAGGAGAATAGCCCGTCTTGTGACGAATACTTCTTTGTCTGCGAGTCAGATACGAGCTCAGATGGATTTATCAGTCTCGCGTAAGACCGCTTGGCGCTCTATCCGCTCTGATGAGTATATCACACGAAAGACGGTGGAAGAGGCTATTCGACTAAGTACTCGCCACAGGCTGGCAAGGTTGGAGTTTGTTCGCCCAGACCATCAAAGAGCCTCCTCCGAAATTCCTCCTTAAGAACACGAGTGGCTATCGGCGAAGGTCCTCGAGTAATGTCTTTTCATCACAGAAATTTTTCATCACAGAAATCACCTAAGAACAAAATGGGTACAACGCGTTGTTTGTTCTAAAGATAAGAAAATCCTGAAAATTCTCGAACAACCGTACCTTGTTTCATGATGTTGCCATGTTCATACGAGCAAACTCCAGACTTGTCAGCTTGTGGCGAGAACTGAGTCGAGTAGCATTTTCATCGTCTCTCGTGTGATATACTCATCAGAGCGGGTAGAGCGCCAAACGGTCGTACGCGAGACTGATAAACCCACCTGAGCTCGCATCTCACTCACACTCAAAGAAGTATTCACTACGAGACGGGCTATTCTTCTGTTGTCTTGAGCAGTCAAAATACGTATACGGCCAGAAATAGGTTGTGAGCGATAGCTGCCAGGGTCTCGAATGAATCTAGCAATGCATGAAAAAGGGCGGACCAGTTGCCGCTCCGAAAGTATGTGCACACTCAAAATTTTTCATTTTAAATTTAACTAAAGATCCCACCGTAACGAAACCATTCTCAAACGATTCCCCGTAGTCGATAACCTTTACAGAAATTGAATTGATTTCCAATCTCGGTAAATGTTTTTGTTTTTTGCTAAGTGTGCACATACTTTTGAAACAAAGGAAGATTTTTTCTTCAATAAAAAATTTTGTTAGCAGCTACGATGTTTCCTCAGAGAAAGTGCTCGTAGGTTATCGCACACAAGGTCTTGAATGATGAAAGCCACAAGTTACAGAAAGCAATGGTATCCCAAAAAAACAAAATGTTTGGTGTGCACATACTTTTGAAACACACTGTATGCATTGCCTGGTCCGTTCTCGTAATACTTTCCTAGCTTGGCGTTTCCACGTGGGTGGTCGGTATACCCGTGTCTCGAAGTTTCGTCAAGCTCCTTTCACCCCATACGTGGCGACTGGGCGTCATAGCCGACTGACGTGGGTCTGTGTTGCGGTTCGTTTCACGGAAATGCTCTTTGCTTTGCTCTTTTTCTCCCCTTCGTTAAGTTGATAGCTCGCCCTCCGCCTTTTCGCTACTGTTCGAAACCGTTGCGTGAAAGCTAAGTAAATAAATAAATAAATAAATAAATAATACCGTAATAAATAACTGCTTCCGTCTAGGCGGTCTAGTAAACATTTGTTGTTATTTGCTTTTTTCAAGAGTGACGCAGAGTATTCTACAGGGTGCGCCATAAATATGGTAACAAAGTAATTTGGCTAAAGAAACTGCAGTTCATATTGCATGGGTGAACTCATGTGAACTATTTACTATGCATTTCGTCTACAAAACAAACACAAGGAGATCTTATATAGCCGTTTCCTGTACTAAGTATAGTTCAAAGACGCCTCGGCTACTCTTCGAGGGCGGCACGCAGAGTTTTTTTAGAAACTCCAGTCTGGGATTTTTTCGATGATTTCTTGGGGGAAGCAACAGTGGTGCATTTCGAAGCGCAAGCCTTCCTTCCTAGTCTGGACTATATCCAGCGACCCATCACATTGTGGTCCGGAAAATTCGTGGACGGATGGGAAGGTGGGATATGGTCAAGAACACTTCTTCAGCACCAGTCTCGAACTTCTCCCATCCATGAGCAAGTGCGCCGTAGTTCTCAAATCGGATTCCTAGAAAAAACTTGGACCTTCAGCTGCCCTTTTCAGGAAACCCCCTCTTGAAGAGGTTCGGACTAAATCTTGTACTTCTCTCGACCAAAATTCGCGATATCGCTCTGATGGTAGAGACTTTAGCCCAAACTATCATGAAAGAGGAGTAATGACTTTAAGAGGCGATCTGACTCTTTTCAACGGCTCCAGCACTCTTAGTGTGATATATATGTATACTTTGGGATCTCAACATTTCTTGAACGCTGAACATCCTTCAGTCAAAAAATGTGTGTCGAAGCGCGTGCCGCGCGCAGGTAACGCACGGCATTTAATTTTTCTCTTCAACTTCTTCTAGTCAAGATGCTTATAAGGCTTCCGAATCTTATCTGGATACAATTCTATTTGCTCTGGGTAGACTCTTCTCATCGAATTAGAACATACAAACAAATCAGCAGCCAATTTTTTTGTGTTTCTGCAGGTTCCGCAGCGTACTCCTTCCCAAGCAATTGTATTCGGAAAAAGGGTCGTATGTGAGACAAGACAATTGTATTGAAGTTTGTTGTTGACCTGTCTACGCAACGCAATTCAAGAGACTGTCATGTGGGATATCTTGAAACGAGGAACGAACCCGGAAAGGCACTCACCAAAGGCGCGAAAGGACGGAACGGTTGGTGGATGTCTGCGAGGCTCTACCGTTTTTTGAAATATGACGAATTGAGGGTACCAAAGTAAATATATAGGCTAAGGAATGTCATAGAAGTAAGGGGAGGTGCAGATCTGGAGAAACCCTCCAAACAAGGAAATTACGGAGGTCTGAAAAGTTGTTACCATATTTATGGCGCATCCTGTATATCATAATGCTGGTTGTCTACTTTTATCTGTGTCTGCTTCTACATAGTATGTTACGTTGTCTAACTAGGTTATCTGACTAGTGGTGTTCTGTAATAAGCGCACCTACAAATGCATAAATAAATGAATAAATAAATAAATAAATAAATAAATAAATAAATAGTACAGAAAGCGACTGAAAGAGGCAGAAGTATGTATGATAGAGGCGCAGAGAAAAAAAGTCCTTAGAAAAAGAAGACGATGTAGGGTTAGACCACCGGAGAGTTCTCACAGCGGGCAACAGAAACCGCAGTGGTTTCATACTACAACGAACTTTACGGATCAACCATTAACTTTCATTTGAGCATCCCCTCTCCCCTTGAACCGTGCCCTCCCATGCTCCTTCCTAACTCCGTCTTGGAAGATCTCCCGGCCTAGATCGCACTTTAGCAGAGCATTCAGCTCTCGCAAAACCCAAAATTGCCCTTTTGTTCACAGCACTTCTAAACGGTATTGAACAAGGCAACCCTATTTTAGAAGATTTAACGACTGTTCGCGTGAAATTGTTGTTCAAAAAATGAGATCCCAATAATGTAAGCAACTTCCGAGCAATTTCGCTGATATATTGAGCACTCAGAGCAGCTACGAGAGCCATCTCGAATCGCACAGACAAAAACTAGAAGAGTCAGAGAGCCCAAGTCAAGTCGGATTCAGAAGAAACTACTCAACCCTGAATCGCATTCATATCCTTAAACAAGTAGCCGAAGAGAGTGCCGGATATAGGTTCCCTGCCTACGTTGCCCTCTTCGATTACAAAAAAGCTTTTGACAGTATGGAGTGGTCCGCAGTGTGGACAGCGCTCGCAAAAAGAGGTGTTCATCCAGCACTAATGGATACAAAGACTTTACGAATCTTCTTCCACGTCGGTTCATGTTAACTCTCGAACAGTTACAGCCACCATGCAAAAAGGCGTTGAACAAAGAGACACGTTGAGCCCGAAACTCTTCAACGCCACCTTACAAATGGTACTTGACTAAATTGACTGATTAGAATGCGGACTATGTATTGGAGGAAGACTGCTTTCCAGTCTTGAATATGCAGACGAAGCTACATTGCTGGCCTGCTCTCGTCCCATGCTCAAAAAGATGCTGCAACCCCTTTCAAATGCACTACTAAGGTCGGACTCCACCTTAACCCAGAAAAGTCAAAACTACTGGCTAATAGTAAAACGTCGAGGCATCCTATATGTATCGATGGAAAAGTCATTGTCTTCGTTGATCACGCCCTTTATCTTGGATGTCGCCTCTCGTTCCCACTAAGCTGATCAGATGAAACAACATATCGAATTCGATGCGGTTGGAATGCTTTCAGAGAGCTCAAATGTATCCTTTGCTACAGAACTGTCGCCCTCCCATTGAAAAAGCGAGCATTTGACTCCTCTATAACCCCGGTCGTACTCTATGAAGCAGAAACATGACCGTTATAAAAATCGGATATTAGAAACATGTGCGTAGCCCAAAGGAAGATGGAAAGAAGGTTGCTTGGGTTCGTATGCTGGACCGATGGAGCTGTGAAGGGATAAGAGCACTCACGAAAGTCAGGGACTGGACGAACGAGGCTTCAATGAGAAAACTCATGTGGGCCAGAAAGATACGTGAAATGGACGAGAGCGTATAGGCTCGCGTGTTTACGACATGGATTCCCTGTGTTTACGTGTAACGAAAAAGGCAATGATACCCTTGTATTCGATGGCACAAACTGTCGATTGAATCGTCGAAGAAGATCGGAAAAAACTTGTGGAGTACGACAAAGGAACAGTTCAATCAGGCCATGATAGGGCATTCGAATACCGTATCATGGCCTGATTGATATTCTGAGTTGATTCCGTAATGAAGTGTAAAGTGTAAAGTGTAATCAAAAGAATTGTCTCTAAAGGTCTCGTCATAATCATGAAGATTTCGGGTCCAATCAGTCACTGCCACCGTTATCCGTGTAGATCACCATGAAAAAACAATGCGAGCCTGTTGTTAAACCGTTTGAAGCTGGGATACCAGCCTGCTGAGGATTTGTCCACATCTCCTGATAATATTCGCGTGTCCCTAACTTTTCATTGATGATGCCGAAAAAGCGACTGCGGTCGGTATTGGCTCCAAGGATATTTCGATCAACCATGAACAAAGACGGGATCACCAAAAGCCAGTCATCAAGCAGTTGCCCTATGAAAGGTGATTATGTTTTTTCGCTGAGCGATGCTTGTCAGATCTGTAGGTAGAGGAAACGATGGGAATGATTGTCAGCATAGCCACCACTGTTAAGCAAAAGTTCGCGAAATTTCGGAGACTTCCAAACTCACACTACACTCGGCTTGTGACATTTAACATAATCCTCGTAAGAAGAACAAGCATCTTCAATCTCCTTGCAGCTGTTGCAGTCACCTTGTTCTACAATTTGTTATGAGCTAGAGATAAACTGTACTGTTTCTGTGTACTTTAAGATGTAATTGATAAAAAGGCAGTTCAAAAAGTAACAACACTACTACTGATACCGAAGATGTAGTCGTTACCTTGGTCGCGTCCACTTTGAAAAGGATAGCGGCGATTAGAGTAGCTAAACCTGCGTGGATACTGAAAATACTAAGACTACTGTAGTCAGACTAATACCATTGTAGTCACTATGGTTTGGATTCATCAATATTGAACCTTAACAGAACAGCGATTCATTCGGCTATATGCATGCCTCTGCGACTCCGTTATGGCGCAAGATGCCCTTTGAAGTTAAGTGATCTATCAAACTTATAAACATAACGTTATATCAACGAATTTCTCACTCCCAGGTGAATGGCGTGATTGGTTATTAGGCTTGAACTTAATTCTCTTGACTCACTGCTGGGCGGAAGGGGCGCTCTTCATATGAATCTTGATATCCATCATCGTTTCGATAATCATACTTAGCTCGCATGCATGATGAAAGTAGTCCAAATACAGTCAGCCGATACATCAATGAAATCATTTTCACTCAAGTCCTGAAATGGATCCCTAATATCGGTAATGATCTTTAGCAATATACACCATATAAGGCAATTTCAAGCATTCATTGGAGGTGCGAACGAACTGAACGAATCGTTTCTCAAGCTCCGATTTCTGTTTTCGAAGTATTGCCTTTTATAGTCATGGTTTCTCTCATCAGTACTCACAATTGGACTGTCTTTAGTGGGTGTCTGGGAGAGCTCTAAGGAGAGTCATGTGGCCATCCATGTGCATTACGAAACAGAGGGTCTCAAACCTTGGGTAGTAGGGGTTCCACTAAACACCAGTGGACAAACAGAGTTATCACTGTCGCCTGCTCTAGCGAGAGGAACGATAATACAAGCGATTATAAGACCAAATTTTCTTCATTATGCCTACTGAGAGGATTCTGGCGCAGCTACAAATCTCATCTTTCGCTATTCCCGTTTGAGCAGAATATACTACTTCAGCAAGCTTCTACGTCGTTTTATACAGTCTTGTCAGCTGGGTTCAAAACGGAAAGAAAAACGAATACCTCTCGTTAAGCGAACTCCCAGAATTTGTTTTGAAGCAATCTGCTGTCTCCAACGGGAAAAGCTGTGAAAATGAACCTATCTCTAGACGATGGACTCACTGAAACACCATATCTTATCCAACATGCAAAAATAGGGAAAAACAGGTGATATGTTCTATTATCAACCTGCTATCATGTGGGCAATGGCTATAGGGAATTCACATAAATGAAACAAGTGAAATATTCTTTTATCAACCTGTTAACATGTGGGCAATGGCTATAGAGAAACTCACATAAATGCGCAGCTACTTCTTTTTACGTGATAACTAGGCAATGGTAAAGAAGCTGAACCCCCCTCAGCTCACAAAGTAATTGAGCTATTTAATCTTTCATTCAGGTGCGGAGGTGATGTAGTGGCAAGTGGTGCACTACCACACACTATGTCACGGATTCTAACCCCGGATCGTTGTCTGCCCGGGCGAATCGAGCCTTCCATTCCTCCGGTGTTGTTTAATTGGTGCCAGACTCGTATGGGATTATGAAGGCACTGGATTTTACGTCGGCTCTCCACCGGCCATTGTATACGGCACATACAGTAGCGCTCAGAAGTCTTCGGTGAAATGGTTCTTCGGCCGTACTTCTCGATCGCAACTCCCTCCCTACTGTCCGGCTGAATGCTTCTCACTCGTATTTTTCACTCTTAACTTTTTTCCGGTTACATTTGGAGCGTGGGTGTATTGTGAATATTTACCACTATTAACCTGCAAACTGATCATTTTCCAGATTTCAAAGAGCATGAGTCCAAAAGCACATAGGGTTCGATGAAGTGCAGACGTCAACACTTTACTTTTAGCAAAATCTGTTACCTCAACAAACACCTTGCTCTATCTATGGACATTGCAGCTCTGTGACCAAATAGTGTTGTGCAGGGCGAAATATGCTCTAGTTAAACATATCCAAATTTTTTGGGATTTGGTCTACTAACAAAAAAGTCACGAAAGGAAAAGCGTCGAAGACTGTCGAAGGAAGAATTTCACTGAAGACTTTTGAGCACTACTGTGCACATTCATTACGCCACTACGATTCTGCATGGAAGTCTAATGCGTGGCGCATCGCTCAGATGAGATTGATTACCGCCCAAAGGCTTTGCCCTTTAACTTTAACCATAACTCTAATCAAAATGAAATAATGGTTTGTTATCAAACATTTGCCAAACAAGGTTAACTCCTTAATGGCAACACATCCATTCTGGTCAAAAAATTGTCTACAGAATCATCAAAATATTCAGTGTTGCACCCATGTTATAACGATACTGATCGTCCTATCTTTCTTCTCAATATATTTTTCATTGCCGAAAAGAACTTTGACATGGACAGAAACACTGATTCTAGTTGGTTGCCACTTTTTGTTATGCGATCCCTTACTCAAGCTCGCAAAAATCATACTTTTGTCAAATCACTAAGTCGGATCATGATTCGTGCTCTTCCATCTCACTGTTTAGTTACTAGCCTGCGATCAGATCGTGAAACCCACAAACGGTTTTTTCTCCCGCTTTCGCTTTTTCGTGAAACTATGAGACTAGTAGAGAATATTACATTGTGCACGATGGGATTGACAAGGAACCGTAGAATAGAATCGAAAGCCGGCCTTCGAGTTTCTGGAAAAAAATTCGACTGTCGCCTGAACCTAGACCACAAAAAAATGCAGGGCGAGTTTTTTGGCAAGCTGCCCACTGTTTGAATTGAGCTCTCTGCGTGACCCACGCCATCGTTTCTTGCTACACGACTAGTCTAGTGGTGTTCGGAGTATTGGCAGTAAGGCATAAGCTCAGATGAGTTCTATAACCTTGCCACTGTGCGTGCTAGACCAATTTTGGGTGTTATGTGTTTGCTGTAGAAGCAATTACAGAAAGAGGTAGCTCTACACATGTAATCATTTGATTCATCATTACATTTCAAGCTTTATGACAGTTCTTGAGAGTAACCATTGTAGCCGCAGCGTGCAAGCCCTGTATGTAGGAGAATGATTAAACGATATTTAAGCTCCTAGAACGAACAAATGATCTATTACATATTACATTGGTCTAATCATATGAATCAGTCGGGGAGAAGATCGATAGCCGAAACTGACCATTCTACTACTTTGACCGAAGCCAAACATGCCCCTAAGTACCTTTTCGATTTGTTGTAGATCCAGAACGAGGCGTACTTCGCGCCAATAACGCATAGTTCCCATAATGTGACAATAAGGAACGACCAAAATTTGATTCTTGTTGTGCTTTGTTGGAGCGTGACCCACTACTCCTGCCGACTATTAGAATTTGGAGTTCTATTCTCAATTAGCTGCCTGAAGCCACACTCAAATGTGTAGAGCAAAATTTTTTGTCCCTATACTACGCTTTCCCTTTCCCTTTGTTACCCTCGACTGTGCTACGTCACCGATTTAAAATCCTCTCTCAGGGCTCTGATGATTTTTCCTCATACTTCAGCTGAAATCTTGAAATGAGTGGGTACGACTT